CCATGGTGGGCTGCCATCTCAAGCATTTGAGTACATTAAGTATAACGGGGGTCTTGACACTGAGGCTGCGTATCCCTACGTTGGAGTTGACGGTGCTTGCAAATTTTCGTCGGAAAATGTTGGCGTCCAAGTCGTCGACTCTGTCAATATCACCCTGGTAAGCGTGATGGGACTGAAAAGCAGAGCTTATAAGCACTTTTGACAATTGACATGCTTTAAATTTCAAGGGGCAGCTTGTAATGTTATGTGCAAAATTATGCAGGGTGCTGAAGAAGAATTGAAGCATGCCGTTGCATTTGTGCGGCCGGTCAGCGTGGCGTTTCAGGTCGTCCAAAGTTTCCGGTTTTACAAGTCGGGAGTTTACACCAGTGACACATGCGGCAGCAGTTCCATGGTGAGTTTAACTTCTGATCATTACTCTTAATCTATTTGTGTTTTCAAAATTAAGCAAAATGTTATCCTAATCTGGTGTTGTGTTTGCAGGATGTGAACCATGCAGTTCTTGCAGTTGGGTACGGAGTGGAAGATGGCGTCCCGTTCTGGCTCATCAAGAACTCTTGGGGACAAAGCTGGGGGGACAATGGCTACTTCAAGATGGAGTACGGGAAGAACATGTGTGGTAAGTTTTTCGGGTTAATTTTCGGATTGCTAAACTAATAAATGCGAGATATGTTTTGGACTGGAAACTGAGGTGCAGCTTCTTATTCATTTCACTGATCTGGATTGCAGGTGTTGCAACATGTGCATCGTACCCGGTTGTCGCGTAAGTCTGTCGAGAGAAACGGCGGTCTTGGTTGTGGATATGTAAACGAAATTCATCGTTGTTTCGGGCTGGGAGACGATCTGTTGCAGTAGGGTTTCCAGTTTGAAGGTGAACGAAAGGGTCGTTGTTCGGTGGCGATTGTAATGTTTCTGTCTTGATGCACAAATAAGTTACAAGACTCGATTTATTTTTGGACATTGTAATGTAAGCAACAAAAGGTCCTTTGTTTAAATTCTCTATAAAGTTGCACGTTATTTGAAATAGAGGAAGTTATAAATCGAGATACAAAACGAAAAACAGGTTATGCGATCAATTAGCCTGCCTTATTTGAAATAAAAGAAGTCAAATTATAACGCAAAACAGGTTAGGAGATCAATTAGTCTGCCTTATTTGAAATAAAAGAAGTCATAAATTATAATATAACGTAAAACTCACAATAATTTTTTCATTCTGTGTCATGAGAACTTTTTATTTTTTGTTTAAAAAAAATGATCAGCTGATAATTTCACTGTGGCAGCAATTCATAGCCACCATCACGTGATTCAAAAGTGCCAAAAATTGAATAGGAAATGTGCCGTGTGAAATACAAGACAGGAATTTGCCGCTAACCCCCCATCATAGTTATGTGCCAATGTTCTAGCAAACGTATGGAAGACAAAGAAGGGAATATAATTCCATACTCATTCCATGTACATAAAAACAATGTCAAATTTCAAAAATGGTTGCAAAGATGCACGTTCCGAAACGTCAAAATTTCCATCTTCAACTTGAACGAGGTTAGTGATTGGGACTAAAATTGAAGAAGTAAAAAAACCACACGACTAAATTGGGAAATCGTTCTAATTACAGGGACCAACAGTGTAATTTGGCCAGGTAGCTGATATATTTTTGTAGAAATACTATCATCAATGAAATGGAATGGAATTCATACACATCAATTTCTTTGTAACGCAGTAAAGCAAGGATTGTGGCAATGATTTTTATAACTTGGAAGAATCGTGGTAAGCCAGCAACATATAAAGAACGAGCAAAACGCTTATGAAGTGCTTAACATGAACAAGTATGCACAAAAAAACTTATATGATTCGAAGCGATTTGCTGATTTATGAAGTTCTGTAATTGCTCCCTCCCAACTCCCTCTGCCTTGCCATTATACTAGATGCATAGTGGCTGAAACACCGGAACATGGACAAGCATAACCATGTTGAGTGCAGGGACAGCCTATTGAGGAATTATATCATTGAGCAAAACTGGTATGGCAAGGCAAATATAGAGTCTCGAATCTCAACTCAAAATGAACACGGGCAAAGTACTTACTGGTTTTCAACCCATTTGTGTCACGGAGCATGCTCCATCTGGTACTTGATTCACCATTGCGCGTGAAAGGACCTCCTCCAACCACTGGAAGAAGTATTCCAATTCCACTTTTGTGGTAGAGCTTCAATCAAACAGCCACTGGAATTTGTGCATTTGCTTTCATATGATCAGTTCTTCCTGTAGGTGACATGCCCGAATTGAGGTCATTATATGCAATTTGCTTAATGTGATGGGCTTCATTAGCCATCCCAGCCTTAATGAGGCAAGATGTCAAAGAATTTACGGTGATGTTGTCTGGGGCACAACCAATTGCCAACATCTTTTTAAAATTGCTAATTGCCTCAGACATTCTCCCTTTCATACAATTCCCGAGTATGAGAATGGTAAATGTCACTTTATCAGGGCTGCATCTCTTCTCTTCCATCTCTGCCACAATGGCGTTTGCCTCATCAACATTGCCAGCCTTACAGAATCCATCTATCACAGGGTTATATATAAAAGGTTTCGGAACCACATTACTCCACTTTAATTGCCTCAGGAAATCACGGGCTTCATGTAGTCTACTCTCCCTGCACAAAGCATTAATAAGGACAGAGAAAGTATACGCACTTGGAGACACATTTTTCTCATTCATCTCCTGCCAAAGCTTTAATCCCTGACTCAGTTGCCCAGCTCGACAATGGCCATCAATTAGGGAAGTGAAGGTAAAAACGTCTGAATGATAACCATGAAAGAGCATTTTCTGATGCATAGCAAGTGCAGAACCCATGTTGCCAGTCTTACCAAATCCATCAATCATTGCATTGAAAGTAACAGAAGTTGGTCTAACTCCAGCACTAATCATCTCATCAAAAAGAACAGAGGCCCCCTCCATCTTACCCAACTTGCAATATCCTGATATGACTGATGTAAAAGTTATAACATCAGGTGAAAGTTCGATTCTTGATTGAACCTCTTTAAGTAATTGAAATCCCCTATCTACCTCATTAGCCCTACAAAGTCCACTAATTAGTGTGTTATATGTAACTATATCAGGGTAGCAACCAGAACTCCCCATATCACTGAACAACTCAAAAGCCTTGTCAATTTCTCCAACTCTGCATAAACCTCGAATTAGAATATTGAAAGTCCAGTTATCCGGGTGACAATGCGACCCCATATGCTTTCTAAACAAGCTAACAGCCTCATCTACTTTATTTTGTTTAACCAACACATTGAACAAGTTATTGTATACGAAAGGTGGCAATCTAATCTCACCACAATAAGCCTCATCAAGAAACTTCTCAGCATCATCCAACTTGCCTATCTGCGCATACGACGACACCAAGAGTTCTACAACTGAATCATCGGGCGTATGCCCGTCACTTCTCATGTAATCAAACACCAATTTAGCAGAATCTTGAAGCCCCATTTGACACAGAGATCTCAAAAGAAAATTGTAAGTCCATACACTATGCTTAACACTCAGACTAACCCTACTGAGCTCAAAGAATTTCAACCCCAATTTCGGATTGTTCAACCGCTTAATAACCTCAAAAGCAATCGAGGGCGAAAGGTTCTTACTAAGGTAACCCAAATCCAATGAATGCGAGCGAAGAAACAGAGTGCAAACAACTTTTACAAACCAAACCTCTGGGTTTGACGTTACCTCGAAGTCGTAAAGCGGGCGCGGCCGAGCTCCGCCGTGGGCGAGGCTATGGAAATGAGAAATGGCGATCTTGGAGGCTCGAACCCAGAAGGTCGGACGGGCTGTGAAGAACAGGAGGGTCATCTGCACCGCCGCTCCATCACGCGGCTCAGCTCTGCTCTCGTAGATGTTTTCAATGAAAATCCTGTTCTGGGTTCCGGTTGATTGGCCGGATTTTCTCACGGGTCGGCCGGAAATCGGATTGGATTTCGGATTGGGAACCTGGGTCTTCATGGATATGAAGAAAAACCCAGAAATGTCAGCATAGCAAACCGGAGCTTTATCGGGGTTTTAGGCCTTTTTGTGGTGAGCTTAGTCGGAGGGGTACGAAAACGAAGAAATGGAGGAAAACCCAGCAACCAGAAATCGAGGAAGAAGATGAAAGCCTGGAATTTGGCTCATTTTTTATGAAGTTGCGAGGTCACTGCCTTAGGGTTTATCAGTGATCCAGTGGTGGCTTTGAGTTGGGATATTATGTCACCGCCCTGTCCACATAAGATTGCCCATCTGAAAACTCGGCCTCCTCTTTCGGCCCAATATTAAGTTGCGCAAATGACATTTTTATTTTTTCACTCTTTTTAATCTCATAATATTTTACCATTTATAGCCTGAACTTAAGAAAAGGGGTACTCTTCATACTCCTTTCACCTGAGCCAACTGAACCATAAATTTGAGTTATTAAAATTTAATTCAACGGTTAAAGTTATTATAATTTTAATGGAGCCCTCTGTTTTTAGTCATTGGATCAAATTTCAAGGGTCCGAATTTATAACTCAGGTGGAAGGAATCTGAAAATGATCCATTTCCTAAACTTAAAACCAATTGACAATAATTAGTGTTATGATCTCGTTTTTTCATTATACACTTCTCTTGTGTTGTTTTCTAATTCTCTTTCAACTTATTAAGTACTAAAGCCAAAAAACGATGAGAGAAGTGAATGTGGATAAATTAGTAGTGCCAAACTCACTTCTCTTCTATAAAACCTCACAAATATAAGTCAAGGAAGGCGTTCTTTGGCTTGTGAACTAACAAGAATGCATCCGAAAAAGGGTCCTCGCGAGCTCATATTTGACGGAATTGTGGATGAAAATTGGATTGAAATTTCATATTGTCAAAAGAACCCAAATTTGGGGTCGTTAAGTGCAAATATTTGTTTGTTAAAGGATAGATACAAAAAAGAAGAAAACTTCAGGCGCCATTTGTGCAATTTTATCTAATTAATAAACAAAATGATTGACAGAGCTCTGGGGAGTTCCGAGTCTGAGACTGAACTCTCCTTCCAAAAGTCTGAAACTTGAAAGCAGAGATCGCAGTTCGCAAATACACAGAACCGAAAATCCGTGTCTAAAAATGTCAACAGAGAGAGAACGGCAAGGTTCTCTGCCGTCAACATCGCCGGAGGACAACGCACTGTAAGTCTTCCTCCTCAATCTCCCTCCAATTTCCGTACACAATTCGCCAATGCCATCGTTTTCCGCCGCCCGATTCCAAATCCCCGCCGTTGATTTCGGCGCTTCACCTTTCAGGTTTTTGGATATCATGCACGAGGCTCCGCTGTTCGGCCACCGGAAGTCGAGGAACCTCTTCGGAAGTGTTTTCTACTTAATCATACTCGCCGGTTACGCTGCCGTGGCCGTCGCGGCTCCGTGGATATTTCAGGCCATAGACGATTTGATACCCCAGTTGCTCTGCAGCTGCAACGTCCTTCTTCTGGTAGTCACAGGTATCTGTGATTTTTTTATCTGGGCAGTCTTCAAATTTAGAGACTTTTCGTGTTTTCGCATCAAAATTTAATCTTTCAACTTTTTTCAGGCATTTTTCAGCAGTATCTGGTGTCCCAGGTTCAGAAAATTCGCTTACAGGTAACCTTTTAGTTTACTCGGATATAAATCCTTTGAACTGATAATTTTGGTTATATTGGTGGATTAATCTGCCCCAACATCTCAGAATTGAGTAGGTATTAAATCGGTACGGCTACTAAAGTCCAGTTCTTTTGTAGTCTTGTCCAATTGTATTTGCATCCCGCTGAATCAAATACTTGTCCACTTGTATTTGATTCAGCGGGATGCTAGATCGTGTTGTTTAGTACTGCTTACTTGATTTGTGAAAGACGAGATGCACATTGTTTTGTAGGGTTATTATAGTTTCAGCCAGAAGTTGAAGCATATTGTTCGACTACCTTTTGCAGTTACTTCATACGGTGTGTGGATTTGTATTTAAGTTGTCTGTTTTTCTTCTTTTTGTTTGAAATGTGGTGGCTTCCATTTTTTATCATTGCAAAGACTCTACACTTCTTTCCTATGAGTCCGCCATTATATTTTCCCTCAAGAATATTATCATCATTGTTGTCACAATTCAGTTTCTGATATCTTCGTCGAATGTTAGGAACTGCTGCGTTGTTACTTGTTATGGTCTGGAGACCCCATATCAGTTTCCTTACTCTCCCAGCAATATTGAGGTATAGGAATTACCAACCTATGATTCCAAGCATAAGCATTTCTTCATTCAGAATTTGTAGCTGTTGTCTCCTTTATAGTTTCTTTGCCCTTTTTCGGATTCGTGGTCTCAACAACATTGATAATGTGATCAATATATGGGATAGTTCAAGATCTTGTCTAAACTTTGGTTGGATGAGTTCAATGTGAAAGCTAGTTTTCATCTGTGACCGACTATTTGTTACTCATAAAATCTGCAGGACTATAATGGTAATTGAAGCAATATGTGCCGGATCTTTTATGAGTCTCAATGTTGGTGAGCTTAGTCCTGAATCATTTTCATGTCTAGCACAAAGCTACATAAACATGAACTCTTAAATTTATAGTACTTACGTATCATCTATTGCTAATTTTGGCGTTTGCAGCTTATATTCACCAGTACAACTCATTAAACTCCCAGCCTGATGTCTTAAAGTCGTTATATTCTCCTCTTCAACCCTCGAGTTCTTTAGAAGGTTTGAGGTAATCATACATTTTTTCTTCTGGAATACCCCATGATCTTGCTTCCTGGTTTTATATACAGAAATTGAAGAGAGATCAATCACCAAGAGTTGCATCAAGAACTTTAACAGTTTATAACATAAGATATGTCTCATAGTTGGTTTACTGGAAACTGCTATATTTCATGGATCCTAATGTAAGAACACGCATTATGTGTTGTGGCAGGTATCATGATGCTGGTCGACTTTCTGATCAGCAAATGGCTTTGTTGCAATATCAGCGTGAAAACCTTCATTTTTTGAGTGAAGAGGTATCTCACCTTGACATTGGTGGTTGTACTATTGTACTCAATGTTATTACATGCAGCTTCTTCGGGTTTTCAACTAATGATTTTGGGTACTGAAGTGTGATATGGACAGTTAGGTGTTCCATGCTGCACATTAAGTTCTTCAAATCAACAGTCTTATTTTATTCTAAACATGTGTTTGTTACAGATCCTTCAGTTACAAGAGTGCTTAAGTAAATACGAAAGGACTAATGATGGGAGCACACCTCAGGTAATTAGTTACTAACTTACTATTATTTTCGTATTCTATAGGATATACAAAGCTCTTGAAAATGTGAGCATACAACTGCCAGTGTAATTTGAGCACTGATCTTGTTTCATGCTCTGTGTTATATGAAAACTTGACAGAACAATACCGATGTCTGTCTTTGCAGGTGGACCTTGCCCATCTGTTGGCAGCTCGTGATCAGGAATTACGGACGCTTTCCGCTGAGGTAATGACTGGTTAGAAATACCAAGTGGTTTGCTCTTGATTCATTATGAAAATAAGAATGTTCTTAGTGTTACGCAGTTACCTCATTCATGGTTCCTTTCAATGTTTCATTTGCTGTTCTCTTCTACATCACATAATTGACATTAGAAGGTGACTGGGAGTCTGAGAGATGTGTTTACATTGCAGATGAATCAATTACAGTCTGAGCTCAGGCTTGCTCGGTCTTTGATAGCTGAGAGGGATTCCGAAATCCAGCAAGTCCAGACCACCAACAATCAGGTTTCCTACTACATTATGGTCGCTATGGACTCGAATCCTTATCTATTTTTTTCGTTTCTTCTCTTTTCCCATTTTCTAACCTCCACAACTGTAATACTCGAACAGTATGTGGAGGAAAACGAAAGGTTGAGAGCCATTTTAGGAGAATGGAGTACACGAGCAGCAAAGGTATTGTCATCCTACCTTGGTCGATCTAGTTGGGGCATCATTTTCTTTCCCATGAGAATTTGTTGTGACAAATGTTGTAATTTTTTGAAATTAAAGCTTGAACGAGCACTGGAGGCGGAGCAGATCTCCAATCTTGAACTCCAAAAGAAGATTCCGACGCTCAGAAGTCAATCACAATCGTCAGCTGAACCAAGCAAGTAGCTTTTCTGTAATTCTCTTGCTTTCATTTACTTTAGTTTGTAAAAGAAAATCTAGGAGGAGAAATAGAAATGAAGCATTACACATGTACATAACAATAGACGTGAAGAAAGAAATCTATCATTACCTATAGTACTCAAAATTGAACGAATGGAAGTCTGTCGGACTTTTGACACTCGTTTAAAGTTAGAACTATGCTTGCTACTCAAAAGATAAGTAGGAACTTCGACCCAAACTCTTCTAGTTCGAATCACAGAGCTTCGTGCTTATGATCAGAACTGTTCATAGTATGACTCACGTGTAAAGATCGTCTCTACAAAAAATGAATTAAAAGTAAGATCTAGGGGTGGGCATAAAAACCGTCAAACCGCAAAACCGCATCGAACCGTAAGAAAAAAAACCGAAAAAAACCGTGTTGACCGGAAAAGTCAACTTTGAGTGAAAAACCGAACCGAACCGTTCAAACCAGTTCCGGTTTCGGTTTCGAATGACCAAGAACCGGCCGAACCGAACCGAACCGTTTTATTAATAATAAATAAATAAATTATATATACACACACATGTCATGGTATAATAGGTTGAAAAATTGTGTACAGGAGCTGCTGCTTCTTGCTTGCTCTCTGAAGTCTGAAAACCTGCAATTTGCTTCATCATTTTTTTGTTTGTTGACTGATTGACCAGTGCATATTTATTTTAGTTGTCTCTTTTTGTTGACTTGGTGCCACTAACAAAGACATTTGCATTAAAAAAGATGTGTTGTATGCAACTTTATGTAATCAGTTTTAGAAGATGTATTTGAATGCATAATGATTTGGTGTTCAAATAATTTATTATTAGGAACCGTAAACCGGCAAGAACCGAATCGGAACCGGTGTAGACCGAACCGTAATGTTCTAGTAATAAATTTAAGTGGAACCGCACCGAATCGAACCATTAATATATTTCGGTTTCTGTTCCAATTTAGGGGTGGAACCGCACCGAACCGCACCGTGCCCACCCCTAGTAAGATCGTTTAGTCAATCTATTGATGCAAATATATTGGAGGTTTTTAATGCTTTTATCAATTTCGTTCATTTGTTTTTTTACAATTAGATGACTAAATGACCTTAGTTTTAATTGATTTTTTGTATAGGTGATTTTTATAGAGTGATTTGTAATATGAACGTCCAGTTATAAACGCAAAGTTCTATGAATCGGTGACGAATAGTTTTGAGTAAGGACTCATGCTCATGCTTTGAGTAGTCAGTATTGTTCTTAAAAGTTATTGTACTCTCTAAATTTTTTGTATTTAGAAAACAAATACAATTTGTAAATCGTCAAAATAACCCGTTGTTGGTGTTATTATTATACTCTTGAAACTCATTGCTGGTGTGGAAGCTAAATTTGTGGTCAAGAGGAGCCTGAAATGTCTTTATGAGTCTTCTCGACCTCCGAAAATGGTGGATAACCATGATTTGCCATTAGTTGTCCCATTTTTTAAAAAAATAAAATCAAAATAACCTTTTGCAGTGTCAATAGTATCTTCCAAACCAGAAGTTAGTGATCAATTTGGGTTGGCTTTAATAATACGAGTGTTTTACTTTACCTTTAACTTTAATTTCAAAAAATATTCAATTTTTTATTTTATTTTGATGGATGTGCTATTCACACATTTTTTTTTACTTTTCGCATACCTCTTGTTAATTTTTGTCCTTTAATTTTCTTCAATTCATCTTATCCGACGGTTAAAAATTAAAAGAGTGTGTGAGAAATATAAAGGGGTGTGTGAATATCACACCCCTATTTTTAATCACAACTATTCATTTTCATTTTCGTATCATTGAATTGGGTGGGCTTTTATATAGTTGGTCCGATGGGCTTTGTTGGGCTAAGTGCTGTTTGACTTGAATTGGGTCAAAGCAGAAATCAATGGCCAGGAGACAAAGATTACAAGAGATCAGGATCATGTGGTTGGGCCCCACGTTACTACAACAAGGCTCTGCTTATGACAAGGATTGTTTGCCTTCCTACTCCCGGTGTCCTTCCGTGCCCTCTTGTTTGTGTGGTCACGGTTAAGCCACGTCAACATTTTATATTTTTTTTATAGAGATAATAAGACAAAAAATGAATAATAACAATATAAAATGTTGACATGATTTAACCGTGACCACACAAAACAGAAAAACACGAGAGAACATCAGAAGTGGAAGGGCAAATAATCATTGTCCCTCTGGTAATTCTTCTTCAAAATCTCTGAATGTTGTTTCAACTTGGCAGTCAAGTCGGTCGGCGTGACATCGTCTCTTACGTCCTCTAAATTCTCCACATTGAATGGAGACATACAATACAATACAGGGCTTCCCCTATACTTTACAAGAAAAAAAAAAAGGGGGCGACTTCCCCTATGTCATGCAAACATTCAGATCCATGTTTCACACGACACGACACATTTTGAAATTTATTTATAGTGTTGGTGAATTACATGATAGTGTTCAGAGAGAAACTAAAATACTTCTGTAAATTTTTAAGAACTTTGAAAGGTAGATTGTTATGGGCAAATCACTCGCTGTTTGTTTTGAAAAAGAAAAAGAAAAGAAAGTATTTGAAGATTGATTTCTCCCCTTGGTGGTGGATGCATCCATTACTATAGTGGGTTTGAGTTTAAACTTCATTTTTGGTGCATCTTTGCTTTTGCCAAAAGAAGAAAAAGTTTGCACAAAAAAGTTGGATCATTAACTTCAATTTTGGTGCAGTGGCCTACTTTTCTCATCCATGCAAAATCTTAAAGTTCTAAATATATACAATTACTCGTAAGCTACACGTGTTCATTAAACTTAGACGCTTTTATGTTTGCAACGATTCAAATTTATATTTTATGGTAGGTATTCATGATTTACGGTTTACTTGTGTGATAAGAAAGGGATTTTTGTATGGGATAGTGCTAATTACACACCTATTTTTATATCCATCAGCTCCGATTTTCTTCAATTCATTCGATTCAATGACAAATTGAGAGAATTGTGAAAAATAAAAGTGAGTGTATGAATAATGAATATTACTACCCTTTTGCATGTCACTGAGACATGTAAGCAACTTATATGATACGCCTGCACCAGTATTGTGATGTCCAATGCCAATTATAAATACAAATAAAAACAACTTACAGATATAACTATACTAATTATATGAAACATCACGATGACTGCATGCGTGAGATTTTCGAACATACTGGATATATTTTCTTTAAACTTAAAAAAAAAAAAAAAAAATTATAGTGGAGAAAATTATAAAAGAAATGTAGATATTATATAAATCAACCAATATGCTAGAATATGCTATAGTGTGAAACTAAAAGTGTGACCCACTCTAGGGTTCCACTAATCATGATTATCAAAACAATAATGATATTATTACCATATTTTTATACCATAATTGTATACTATCTTAGGTAGCATTTAATGTGAACAGCCACATCATCTAAATTAATTAGCATTTAATTTCAAATTGTTAATCAATAATTAATAAAAAGATTGTTAATTAAATGATGATTGTGGTATATAAGGAGGCTCATTCTTCCTCCCCCTATCCATTATGCTTCTTCTTCCTTCCCTTTTCTTTTTCACGCCAGTTTTTTTATTGATTTCTATTGATTTCCATGATTATGATCAAACTTTATAGAATTTACTCGTATACCACAATCACCATTGATTTATATCTCCATACTCATGCCCCGTAGCCCCAATCCTCATTCCCCTTCAAGTATTTCTGTCTCCAATCTTCATTAGTACTCCATGGTTGTTCATCAGGTGATTTTTTTTGTTTTCTTTTCAAAATATTTTTTTTATAGTTTAAAAGAAGGATTTCATTTAGCAATGCCTATTAGCTTTCATGCAAATTAGGAGTCAAAATCAAATTTGTTTATCAGATTAAGGTTCATACCCAATTAAATTACTAACGCGAAAGGAAGATCTTGAAATCAGTAATTTTCCTTATTTAAGTGTAGCATTACTCTTATCAAAATCACATTGGGATCCACCGTTCCACGTGTCACATTCACACACAATAAGTCAAAGAGTCAAACCAAATCCTTGTACATTTTCGTAACCCAACAAAGCATACCATGAGTGCACCACACCCAAAAGCACCCCAATCACCCAAAAAATATATTTGAGAAATAGATTAAAAAAGTGGATAAATAAGTATGTAATCAGATAACTTAGTTTACTATTCCCCACAAACCTATACTTCCATATTCCCGTATTTTATGCCATGTTTCAAATCATGATAAGGTTCGCCCTCACTTCTTTATTCTCTTTTTTTTCCTTCTTCATTATCTACGATAGATTTTTCAATGTGTTCGTAATACGGAATAAAATAATACATGTTATTTATTATATAATTAGAAGAATTCTTTTTCTTTATTGTATAATAGTATGTGATTTTCTATTTTTTATTGCAGATACATTGAAAAATATATCGTTATTCATCTACTCAAATAATAGCATATTTACTTTTATCATACGCGTTGTATGTGTACTTAACTAAAAATTATAATTAAAACTCTTGTTTGTGAGTTTATTGTTAATCATTTATGTTCATAAGTATTTTTTGATAAAAGTGTTTTTATTATGCACATGTTTTAAATTTATTATAAATCCAAATATTTTATAACCACTTCGATAACTTTGTGTAAAATGTTGTTATGGAGATTCGGAGAATTTCGTGATCATGTCCGTTCATCGTACATCGTGCCGTCAATTTTCGTTAAGTACTATTTATATTGAATTTTTAATTTTAAATTTCAAATGATTTCTGACCTGACTATATACGATGAACAAACACGATCACGGTATCCCCCAGATCTCCAAGAAAAGGATCCTACGAGGATCATTTTCCATCCGTATCACTCTAGTAGTGTTAGAAAATATATTTAACCATATATCAAATAATTCCGTAATATAAAATATATAATTTTTGTTCTGAAGTTATGTGAGTTAAATTGAAATCATAAACTCTTTCGACAAAGTAGACTGACTAATTGATCAAGAAAATTTTATGTACATCCAAACACAAGATGAAAAATTATGTGGATGACCTAGTTGATATAACTCACTTCAGAATATATTTTTCACTCACTTTATTTATATAATAATAATAATACGTCTCCGATCATATTATTAATTTATGAGCTTTTGTTTTTTCGGATAATGGAGATTAATTTATGAGTATATATACACATAAGAAAATGGCGTAATCATCGCCACCCCATGTGCTGATCACCAGCTATTAATATCTCATATCAGTCCTTTCCCTTCTCGCTGTTTTCATTCTATCCAAAATTCGCACTCTTTTCTTCTTCTATCCAAAATCTCTCAACTTTGAACCCGGAACCAGCCCCCATCATGTCAATCGCTCTACGGAGAAACGGCGGTGGCGGCAATGATATGATCCGACGGCCCAGGTTCATTCACGGGGCGCCTTGCATCCCCATCCACGACTCGTCGGAAAATAAAGGGTTTGCTCAAGATCGTCGTCTTGACCAGGAGGACTCTTGCAGCAGCTCGTCGTCTTCAGTTGGAAGGAACAGCGACTCGTCCGATGGGTCGTCGGAGGGGGAGGAATCCGGTGAGGCTGAGGTGCAGAGCTCGCTTAAAGGACCGTTGGACACCATGGACCAGCTCGAGGAGGTTTTGCCTGTCAAGTATGTTACTTGGTACCTTTAGTGGTTTTGAACTTTTGATTTGAATGATCTGGATTTTGATTTATTTGTGTTGTAGTTTTAGTGAATTAGAAAGGTGGGTTTTGATTTAATTTAGATTTTGGTTGGTTAGTGTTGTGGTTTTACTGAACTAGCAAGTTGGGTTTTGATATAATCTGGATTTTGATTGGTTGGTGTTGTAGTTTTATGGAATTAGCAAGTTGGGTTATGGTAATTTTGGATAAAGTTTGATGCTTTGATTGTTTTTTGAGCATATTATTGCTTTTTCCTGCAAAAAAATTAGAGCTTGAAAGTTATTAGCAGGTGGCTTTGTTAGTTAATGATTCAGTAATTTGCAGAAACTACAAAGGATGCAAACTAAACAAGAAATAATGGAAAGAAACTATTTAGATTGAATGGCAATAAAATGAACACTACTGACGATGACGTGATTAGGATTCGTTAATCACAACTGGGTGGATTTCCAACTATTGTTCTAAGAAATTAAGATTAAAGGCTCACTCCTTTCTCTGAGATTTGGATTTTTTTTGTATGCTTGTATGGTTTCGTGAAACTAGAGGAAATGAAAGAATATTAAATGTTCAGGCTTTGTGGATGCTCTTGTTGTTTGAATATTGAAAAGGGAAGTCAGTTGGCAATGTCTAATTCTCATTCGGATTTTTGTTTGTTCTTGTTTGTTTTCACTTCATTGTTTTCTTCCTTTTGGTCTTTATGATCCTCTGGTGATGAAACATGTTTGAAATTTATTTTTCTACCTTATCTGGTCTTCTCAGCAACCAGCAGAGCATTTAGGAAAACTTTGAGAGTGTCGTGGTGTGCTGGCGATGCAATCATAGTATAGTTCTTATACTGTTTTTGTCATGTAAGCTAATAAGCTTGTAGTTATCTATTTTATTTTCTTGAAGTTTATTGACACGCAAGCCTGAATTAATGTTCAATCTTTGATGAAAGAGGAAAATTGAGTTCTCGACAGTCTTATTAGGAAGTTGATAAGTTAATGGTTAAAAAATGTCTTAATGGTTGAATGAATTAGGTTGAAACAAACAAGGGGGTGGGATCGATTGTTATAAAAATGTCTTGATGGTTAAAAGTATTGTTCAGAAAGCCTCGAAAGGAAGGCACTTCACACTCCCTCCATGCCTTGTGCAAGTTTTTGTGACTTAGTTGTTTTGCGTCATGCGAGAATCAAATTTTGTTTGTGGCAATATTTAGCCATTATGGTTGGATTAGATGAATCTTTAAGATCATTAAGTACAATCTACAAGCTCAAAAACTGTACTTACGTGTATTATCTTATGTTTTTCATGCATTTGATTTGTGATATATTTATAATGTCTTCTCTAACATTTCAGGAGAGGTATATCCAAGTTTTATAGCGGTAAATCAAAGTCCTTCACAAGCCTAGCAGATCTCTCTTCTGTTTCTTCTGTCAAGGAGCTTGCAAAGCCAAAAAATCGTTATACCAAGAAGCGCAAGAATGTATTAGCCCAGAATTATTTTCAGGATAAAAACTGCAATGACTTATCAAAGAGACCAGCTGCTAACTCTAGTCGAGCATCGTTTCTTATTGGGGAGACTTTGAGCCGCTCCCCTAGCTATAGCAATGGGGAGGGATCCAACTCAATTTCACCATCACCTTCTTCCTGTCTTCCACCTCTGCCTCCACATGGTAGACGATCACCTGATAAAGAACCATCACCACCTCTTCCTCGACGCAGTTCTCCTTGGAGATCGTTCTCTCTTTCTGATCTGCAGTGCATCGCTGCAGAAACACCTGACATAACTGGCATGGGAGTTTGAAGCGGGGAGGACAACAATCTACATTGACGTTTTAGCTTCTGTTTCGTTTTCACGATTCTGGAAGAATGTTGGTCATGTTTTAAGTTTTCTCCTGGGGTTTTCCACTGTAGTTGAATCCGCATGCCCGTGTATTCTCTACGTATATGATTTAGTTGTTATGCGATGACTATAATGGGTCCTTTGTATCATACAAGCATCAATTTTATGTTTCTGTTTCCGAATTTGGAAATGTTTTCCATCTTTTATAGACAAGAAAATTTATTGACAAAGTTGATTTATCTTTTCCTTATATGCCGCAATCCAATTCAGTTGTTCAGTTCAGTGCTTGTCCTGGGAAAGGCTTGTGAATTGATACTTAGGCACCCCGAGACAGAGGAAGGTCGCTGTAAGTGAATGCTTGGACACTTGCAGCTTGAAATGCTCGAAGAACGACATAGTTTTCAGAGATGTTATTGGTACTTGAAAATAATTATCCTAGTTACGAAATGCTTGAGGAACGACATACAGCTTGAAATGCTCGAAGAACGACATAGTTTTCAGAAATGTTATTGGTACTCAAAAATAATCATCCTGGTTACGAAATGCTTGAAGAATGGCTTGGTTCTTCAGAGATATTATTGACATTCCGAAAAAATCGTGGAGTAACAATTCATTAACGTTCTCAAAAGGTTAGGCCGCTTGTGTACATGCACTGAGATGGAAAATACAGTTAGAATTCAGAAGGGCGACGACGTTTTGAATGGGTATTTTCCTTTCTAAATTGGAAACGAATTTCATGACAGGAATAATAATAGGAAAACTAATGAAAAAGGTTTAAAAACTTTGAGTTTTAACGATAAGGACAAAATAAAAGGTAAAGTAAATAGTAATATGATTGACTTTTTAGTATAAAAATATAATTTTTTGTTAAAATAAACAGTACCAGAAGTTTTTCGTTAAAGTTCTCAATAATAATTCAATTCCATCGGTGGAAATATAATCAAATAGTGCATTTTAATACTGGTAGATCAAGGGATGTGAAAATAAAGAGGAAAAGTTGATCGCAACTTCCGAGTTGTGTTGACATAAAATAAAGAAAAAAAAATAAAAATTGGTCAATATGTGCATCTTCTCATAGGAAAAATACACATATTTTCCAATTTGCGAATATTGTATATTTATGGAGTCAATAATGTATATAAATTAATAGTTCATCATGAATATGTTATTTAGTACTTATTATCAATTTCTTTAATATACTTGAATGTATAAACATTTTCCGATTCGAATAATTTTTTTTATACAGATGATCTTTAAATGAATGTTAAGAAATTGAATTGTTCCGATTACAAGATTTATACAGTGAAAATACGTTATTTGCAAAGTGTGTATAATGTGTTTTGGATTGTGAATATTGTTCATTCTCTTATCAGAGTTACAGGTATTATCCATAACAATTTGCTAAGACGGCTATATAACGAAAATAGTACATCTTGTCAAGACTTAATTTCTCTTAGTGAGTTACAAGAGCTGTAATTTTAAAGGCCTAATTGTGATATAAACTGGAAAGTAATATATAGTTCAAAATAGGAAAGGAATCCTAATCTTTATCCTATCAGTAAACATAAACAACATCCCTAAACTGGGGAATCACTTGGATTCTTGGAATATTAGACCATATTCAAAGGAGATGTCAAATTTTGAATTTAAAATTTAAATTTAACAGCTTATGTAGCATTTTGACATATTTTCATATTTTAATCTCTGCCCGATATGTCAAATTAAACTATTATTTTATTACATTATTTTTTTTCTTCTTAATTTCCGTCTAGGCAAGTTCTCTCACTCCTCACGATCTACAAGACCAGATCTCATTTCATTTTCTTAGGCAAGTTCTCTGCCTCCTCCTTCCACTTCTTCTGGTATTATTTCAAATTCCACACACAATTACCCAATAAAAACTCAACCTTTTTTCCATTAGCTCCAAACCAAATGCGCCAACTTCATCTGCTTCATACAGCTTCAACCAACCAAAACTAAACCCGACCCATGTTAGGAAACAAGTTGCTCCACTTACCCAGTTGATCAAATCCCTGGAATCTGATTCCAACTTTGGATAAGAATCATGTTTCTCAGAGAATAAGAGGGAGGGCAAAAGAGTAATTAAGAGAGTTTGCAGAGAAGATAAAAGAGAGAACGACAGCATGCAGAGGTGCTTGTACAGTCCCTTCTCCGAAGCTATCTTATTGTTGCGGCCATTTACGAAGTCACCTGCGAGATTTTCTGCTGTCTTCGTCTTCGTCTTCCTCGGCTTCGGCGCGTTTGTGTGTACGCGCCTTCTCAACTTCCTTGCAACTCTACTGTTTAACAATCAAGTATTAAATGATATTAAAATAATAATAAAAGACATTTAATAATTAGTAAAAAAACAATTTGAAACTACTGTCAAATTTGACACCAAACTCCTTTGCTACCATTCCATGTTATGCCACATAAGATTTGAAATTTCGGTTGGAAACAATTAGTGCTGTTTTTTTTTTTTTTTTTTTACTGTTATAGCTTATATGAAAATTTTAACATCCTTTGGGTGCTCTTAAGAGGCTGGTTACTGATTTTGGATGGAGACAAATAATATTTTCATTACCAAAATTTGGTAATTGCAGAAATCACTCGGGGAAGAATTTAATTCTTATTATTCTACCTTCATTCCAATTTCGTAAACACGCTACAAGAAGACTACATCTCATCAAGACTTAATTTCTCCTGCTAAGTTAGTATAAAAGCCCAAAAAAATAGGAAAGAAGTCATAATCCTCATCCTACTAGAAAACAATGCCCTAATACAAAGAAGAGATTTTTCATTGCCAAGAATACAGCACGATGCATCAAGTGTCAACTTGTTTTATAACACTCGGTGTAGGGTATCGTATTTTTAGAGCACTGAAAAATTTCTCATATAAAACAAATCAAACTGCCAACTTGCTAAATTTTCCAGCACACTACGAAATTTTCTAGTGTCTATGAGAGTGATCAAACACTTTATGGTTCATTGTTCTTTGTGGAATACTGGAGTTCGACTTCCTCTTATAGAAAGGACGTCGTGGAGAGGCATCTGCCAACACAAACCTTGAGGCACCTTCGAAGGGCAAATTTCAGGTTCTTCTGCCCAATGTTTAGCATTATATTCTTTGAAGTTAACAATTAGACCTCAATTTTAAACAATTACTTACTCTAAGCACTACAAATTTCAGCAATTTTCAACTAACATCTCTCAATTAATTCTTGTGCCGTTTCTTCTGCAGCAGAGGAAAACGCAGAAAATGCATGAAACACACCGGTCGCTGAGTGTTGAGATTCATGCAGAGCCGTTTTACGGAAAACAGAGAAAAAGCTGCAGCAATCAAGGCAATCCGCCAATTATTATATTAAATTTATTAATCGAATGTAAATTAGAAGTGGTGTCTTTTGGTAGAACGATATATCTAATCAAATGAAGAGTTACAATTTTTAACCTTTTCTGAATAGTCACATGTTTTCTAAAGAGGTACCTCAATTTTATAAATAGAGAAGCTCCCATAATTTTATATTTTTTTATCGTACATATAATCATAAATATAGTGCACTAAATATTAGAATGTCTCATTGAGTTTATATCAGAGAGTTTTCAACACAATTGTGGTTCATTGGAGTCCTGTGATTTGAAGTGCTATTATTACACGAACGTGTTCGTTGTATCCTGAGAGACAAGTGTTATCAATTTTCAGGTGAGGCGTAAACTTGTCTTAAAGGACATATATGCCTTGACCAATTTTCAGGTTTTCTAATCCATTACGTCGTGTTCATTCAACATTAATTACTCATGTGTATGCATTACCTTGATATATAATTGCATGAATCATTTCTTAATTTTCTATACGATTTAATCTAGCAATTACACCCTACTTTTTCCAAGATAAGGCACCCACGATAAAAACCCTACTTACTGATAAAGCCACCCATTGGCTGGCCAAACATCCGCAAAATTTCCAGATGAACAAATATATATACAAACAAAAAAAAAAAAGGATTGATAACGCAAATACAATTTTCTCAGAAGGAGGGGAAAAGCAGAGAGATTTAATGACACCAGGCAACAATTCCATAAAACAAGTTGGAAGCAAACATACATTTTTTGTTTTTGCATTAATTATTTCTTGCTTAAAAGTCATCTCTAAAACAAACAATATCCTCTGAAATTTTGATAAGAACACCAACATTGTGTCAGCACCTCAGCATCGGTTTCGAATTTCTGGACTGCCAGTCTCACTCCTCTTTCAATCTTCTGGGTGCCTTCGGCTGTGAGAGAAAACAAACACAAAATAAAAAACCCCTCCCAGCAGAAGAACAAAACAGCTTCAGAAGGTTCGCTTTTTATCTTGGAAATCTCGTATTTTTCAATTTTTCCTTTCTGGGTTTCTTTTTTTTCATCTGATTTTTCACTTTTATGTTTCTATCTTTTTTAATTTTTCTTTTCTGGGTATTTTGTAGTAACCTTTGTGTTTTTCCGACCAAAAAGGTGGCAGCTTTTGAAGTTTTGGAGCTGCGGAAAGACATGGCTTCGAGTTATTCGCTTTTCACAGAGGAGAACTTCAAACAGTTTCACAACGTCGACAGAAGTCTGTACACGATTCTGGTGCTGAAGCTCTTCCGGGACCCACTGGAGTCCATGCAGGTTCTGGCCCTGTGGCTCTGGCTGGAGAGAGATGGGTTCAAGAATGTGGTGAAAAAGATGCTCTCTTTGCCCTACATTTTGATCAACGAGCTCGCTGACGAGGCCGTCACCTGTCTCGGCCTCATCAACGGGACCCATTTCTCTCTCTCCTCTGAGCAGACGGACATCCCACTCATGCAAAGCTTTCTAGAGAAAGAAATCTCAGTCCAGTTTTTCCACGAGAACCGGGATGCAGCGGCTCGCGGCGTCACCAAGGCCGTCAACGAGGTCTGCCTCCCGGCTTTCGACGACATCATGCAGAAGACAATGGAGCGGAATTTCGCTCAGAATTCTGTGGATCACCGCAACGTGGTGTTACCATCACAACGATCATCTTCTTCGTTAGCATCCCAACAACCATCGTCTTCGTCTTTATTCCCATTTTCTCTTTCAAATAATGAGCAGCCATATCTGCAGCAGCAGCAACCTCTGCAGATGAGGAACGAGGTGGCACCACCACACGACAGGACGATGTTTGTCACGTTCTCGAAAGGGTACCCGGTGCAGGAATCGGAAGTGAGGCAGTTTTTCACAATGACTTTCGGGGCTAGAATCGAGTCGCTGCAAATGCAGGAGGTGCAGCCACACGAGCAGTCACTGTTTGCGAAAATTGTCTTCCACAGTCCGGCGACGATCGAGGCCATACTCAATGGGATGAGGAAGGCAAAGTTTACAATCAATGGAAAACACATTTGGGTGAGGAGATATGAGCCGAGAAGGACACGATCGTTGCTTCCACCAATTGCTCCTTTTGGGGCAAGAGTTGGTGAAGGTGGTGGACTTTTGTAATTGTATGTTGAAAGTTTGATGAAATAAATGAAAGTTTGGAACTCTGTGTCAACCTTTATAGCCTTTTAATTTTGCAATCTTTATTGTCTTTTTTTCTTTCTTTTCAATTAATAGTAAGGAAAGTGATCTTTACACACTCATGTTAATATATTTGTTGATTTCGTTTGATTTATAAATTCGATGATCATAAACGAAGATGAGTGTCTGAAAAGCTAAAATGGTGTAAAATCACTTCCTTAATGATAAAATATAAAAGTTAAATCAATATAAGATGAATAAAAAATTATAACAGATGGAGTGAAGATAATTGATAGGAACATAATATATGCATACGTATTACATAGGATATTATTTGAAGAAGATCTTCGTTTAACAAATGATAGGAATATAATTGGGGGTTTAGCCACGTTGTTAACCGATAAAATTGATAGGAACATAATATATGCATCATTATTTTTAGACTCGGCAAATTAATCTTTAATTCGGACCGTGCCACGTGTCTAGTTTGTATTACATGAGTATAAACACGTTTAATTATATGGACGATGTCAAGAACATAAAGTGCTACATTGTCGTGGTGCACGTGTTAACCTAGACGCGTTTGTATTACATGATTAAGCATAACGTTAAGAACATAAAGTGTTACATTGTTGTATATGAAGAACGGCGAAGTTAGAGGATTGTTTTTGAAGAGGCTTTCAACGTTTAAATATCATAATTATAGTGTAGATATCATAATCTCATTGATAGAAATGCGACCCAACTATTGTCAAAGGTTGAAGAAATTAATGTCTTCAAATTTACTTTATCACGAAAATGTGACAAGTGATCAATGTACAAACCAAATAAAAGGAAAATATTTGGACAACTCGTTTGTGTAATAAGCAAAACCCTAAAAACTACCTTGGAAAAAAAGGACTATATAAATACTTATTTTCTTTGAGGGAAAAGACCAAGAGAAATTAAGTAAGATTTAAGAAAGTGAAACACAATCATGGTTGATGTAACCAAATTTAGTTTGTAATCTCTACTAAATAATAAAACATTTATTGTCAATCAAAATTCTATGAAATTACATGTTTAACGCTCTAATTAAAAGAGAGCATGAATAAGAAATATGGGGCAAAAATGTAATTTCACACAACCAAATTTTGTTATTTTTTTTTTCAAAGCCTCACCTACATGTAATCCTAACATATCTCTAATTATAATAAAAAAAATTAAAAAATTAAAAACTTCCCACTCCCACATTCTTTATCACTCTCTTCCTCTCTCCTTCTATTTCAAAAATAAAAAATAAAAAATTTTCTCATATACTTTGTGTGTGCCCATATGCTAGTTAAGATTAAGAAAACAAGGCTAACTTGTCATTCTTTTTAATGGTTGATTTAACTTTGTAGCTTGGAAGGTCATAGTCTAAGCAAAAATTTCAAATTTCAAATTTCAAATTTCAAATTGGAATGAGAGAAATGTTAAGGAGACTCTTCAAAGTGAGACTTTCTATAAACTCTTTGTTACCTTACATGTTAACGTTAATTTCTGTGCCAATATTAAAAAATATTGTACTAAAAATATAAGATAATAAAGAGTCCATAAAAAAATCTCTTTGTAAGAGAGTTACCTTAGTATTTCTCTTGGAATGAAACAATGCTAATCCTTCATAACTAGTAATGGCTTCATAATAATTTTGAAATTTTGGGTAGGATCTTAATGAAGAGGTAGCACACCCAAGCCACTACTTGGATCATGTGCCTTCATCATCATGCCATTAGATAAACTTGAAGTCCTCAAAATTTGTTGTAAATACGGAATTTATGATATCGTAAACTTGATGCATTTGAGTTTGACTTTTCTTGTAATTTTGATTAGAGAAATGCTATTGAGATTATCAAAATTGGTATTCTCTATAGATTTTCTGTCACATCATACTTTTTGCATAATATTTATTAGGATGTGCTATCCACACACCTCATTTTTCTTCTCATACAGCCCTTGATAATTTCTGTCTGTTGATCTTCTTCAATTCATCTGATTCGACGGTCGAAAATTAAAAAGGTGTGTGAGAAGTAAAATAAGGTGTGTGGATATCACACCCCTATTTATTTTGTTGGTTTAAGGTTAAACTGTGAGGTGACTGCGAGTCCATGAAGAGTTCCACTTGAGAGTCTCCTTAAGCATTTCTTTTTTGATTAATATAAACTAGAATATCACTGTAGACTTGCATTCAACTAAATTGGTTAAAGCAGTGTTCTTCCTCGTCGATATCCAAGTTTGAATAACTCTCCCTATAGTTTAGATGAATTTTGTGTACAACATCGTTTGTGAATAAAAAAATAGCTTTGAAGGTTTGGTGGGCCAAACATTGTAGATGCTTTTGGTGGGCAACTTTTAATCAAAATGAATCCCATCTTTCATTTGACGATTTGTGGACAATGGCCCAATGGACCCTCCCTTCCTCCACTCTTATCCAAAGAACGTTCCTAGTTTAATGGCGCATCTGCATTTTCGTCAACCTCCTCCCTGCTCTCCTCTCCCTCTCGTCTCCTCCCACACTGAAGAAGCAGAGAGCGACTGCTCCAAAGCCTCGTCCGTACAGTTCACGGCTCTGAATTCATCAAAAAAATGGATTGGGGTTCGAGTGGGGAAGAACCAACTTTGTGCGAAGAACTTTACAGTGTAAATTTGATACCGTCGGAGTTATTTTTCAAGTTCCGGAAAGAAGTGAAGGATTTAAGGGTCGGCCTCAATCTGGAGGTATGAAATTTCAATTTCTTCAAGAGTTTTAACTGTTTTCTTACCTTCCCAGTTCAAAAGGTTTGAACTTTTTAATAATCCAACGCTTAATCCTCTGTTTTCTGTGTTAATATGAAGAATTACTCGGGTTACTCCATGCTAGTCACAAGTTGAAGTGTCCTGTTTGTAAAGATTGGTTTTTTGGATTGAATTTTTGTTTGGAATTGGAGAGATTCGTTATCTTTTGTGTTTGTAAACATTGAGGACCGTCTGATAACTATACCGGTTTTAGTTTTTTACTTTCGGTTTATTGGGTAGAGATATAGGGAAAGTAGATGGAGGAAAAGAGGGTCGAAAAAGGTGCAGAGGGGGCGGTGGGAGGGATGACAGAGAAATGGTTATCAAACGGTTCCTAAACAATCGATGAGAATACTGAATTTCTATGTGTTTATATTGGTTCAAATTTTCATGAAGATTGGCTGCAGTTGTTTATGTTTACTGTATACATTGTGGAACATAAGCTTCTATGAGTCTTAGGTTTGTTTATTAATCCGTATTGAGTACTTCCGAATTTTGATTTGTTGAGATCATCGATTTGGTTCAGTTTTATAATGCTCCAATCAATGAGTTTCAAGGAAAGATTATATTGAAGCCGTTGGCTCCTGAACGGATGTGGAAGTTCATCTACGAGCCTATCCATCAGGATGTTCGTGTTCTTTCAAAAAAGATTCCTCTAACTGGATATCTAAATCTTCAGGTTTGATGCTTTACAATCTTCTTTTTTATTCAACTCCCCGCTCCACTTTCCTGCACTATTGAAGTGTATAATTTCGGATCCTTTGCACCATCTCAAGCACACTTGGATTAACGTATGCCAGACTTACTAGGAATTCATAATGTTTTAGCTTGAACAATCATGTATTCTGCGTATGTGCCCCCCCCCCCCCCCCCCCCCCCGCCGCCTGGACTGAGCTCATATTTCTTCAAGTATCGTAGTATTAACGTTACAAAATGTTGGAAAAAGCAGGTTGGCATAGGCCATAATTTTCAAATCAATGCAACCGGGTGGAAATGGAAACTTACTACTTGTTTTGGTGGAGATGGCATATCTCGGATCAGGAATAAGACATCGGTTGGCTTGGTCCCTGGTGTGGATTTGCGCTTTGGGTGGAGGGCGGATTATGTTCTTCCTGAAATTACCGGGCAAGTTCCTTAGTCTTGTATGCATTTATGGCAGTAGAGATAATTCAAAGTACTATCTCTTGTAGTGTGCTTTCAAGTTAGCTCCTTATCATTATTTATTTTTCATATCTGTTAAGGTTTTACCGTCTCTTATTGTTTAGTTTTCGAATTATTTTTCTTCAAATTACATGCGGTTTTGTTCTTGTTTCTGTTTCAACTACTTATTTGATTGTGAGTAGTTATGGCTCATGGTCGAAACCTTGAATTGATTAGGGCGTTGGGTACTGGTGAACCGTGGTTCAACATGAACTCGGGAAAGTTGCAAGCATCACTAGATAGAGTTGAGGCCATCGTAAACTACACCGATATCTACAATTTATACAAGTCCAAAGACAAGGTACGACTGTTGAATTTACACATGAAAACTCGCTTTTGAAAGTGTACTCGATTTCCTAGCTCTTACTGGTGTACATTTTGTTCTTATTTTCTGCGTTGTCACCCACATACTCCACACATCCTAGAGTCTGTAGAACATGCTGATCTAAGGTGAAAATTTGTGCCTCATTCCGTGCTTGCTGAATTCACAAACTTGCCTTTTGTAGTAGTTTTAGATTTTTCAGAATCTCTAATGGTATTTGCACCTTGATGGGGACGGATTAGATGACTTTGTGACTTTGTGATTAGACTGAGTTTACGTCGCTTTGTTCTTCAGCAGGAACAGCAGCAGAGACCTGAAACGGATGTAATTTCTTATTCCAGTCCTTCGGATCCCTTAAAATGAAGCGACTTTTCGCGCAAACGGGTTTGTTAATGTTTCGTCACACAATGGCCTTTCTGTGTGGATCGATGGATAAGAGGACGCTGCAGATTTGCACAAGTAATTGTACATGCTGTTGTGTCCTTGAGCTGAGCATGCTTGCAAATCAGATCACGGTTTTTTCTACTTTTGTTGTTTGGCGTCGTGTAAATGATGTTTAAATTTCTACCTAACGCAATGTTCACCTCGTTCTCCATCTTCTTGCTGGGTGCTGCTACCGATCCTTTACATTGAAATGGAGTATTAGAACAAAGTTTTCGTCCGTAGTTTATGTATCGGCGAACTTCACCTCGTATTGGTGCGATATAGGAAAATCAATAAATATCGACCACATTTACTGATTGATTACAAAAAATTTGTCGGAACACATTGAGGATGTCAACTGTTTGAATTTTTTTCTCTAATTTCAACTAAATCTAGATGAGTTGATATACCTAACGATTGCAAATTTCCATAAATTCTTGAAAAGCAACCATTGTCGATATCAATATACATTCATCGATATTTTCATAAATTTGCATATCGCTAATTCTACTTCTATCGATATTTTAAACATTGCTTTAACGACATGTTTTGAACTATTTATGAAAAATCTAACAGTGATTTTTGAGTTGTAAAAGGTTTTTCTCTGGAGTAAAATAAAACGAAAGGATTTAAAAAGAAATAATTAGAAAATTACAATTTTCAACAAAGGAAGAAGGAAAATGTTTGCAAAAAAGAACGTTCAGTGTCAGTTAGACCGAACCGCGCAAAATGAAAGGGAAAACGAAAACGCCAACTACGCATTAAATGATCCAACGGCTCACGTTGTTCTTAATCATCAAAGGGCCCACAGTTATACGACATCAAAGCGCCTTCGCCTTGTAAATTCGGTCATCGACTGATCGCTGTGCGCGCCTTCAAAGCAAAATGCTTTCCACTTTTTCGCCCCCCCAAAATCCAAGCGCGCCGTAACCGTTGCCCACAGCGCCACCGCAAACCACCGTGACCTCCGCCCCAAAGTATCAATCCATTTCAACCGCAGACGAGCCAAAAAGCCCGCGCTTTTGCATGTAATCGCCGTACAAGTCCATCGCCAACGACGCGAAGCTTTGATTCTTTGCCACCAAGAAATTGAGTAAGCTTTCTTTTTCTTGTTCTTCTTTACTTTGAAATTGCATGCGAGTTTGTGCGTTTCAATGGCGCGAAACCCTTGGCTTTCTTGATTCCGTCGAAATTCTGGCGTTTAACTGTAAGGGAGTAGGTTGGGAATAACTCCTCCGAGTCGACTCAGTCGACAAGGCGACTGTTTCCCTCTTTCCCCAACGACAATGGCGACTGTTTCAAGCCCCCAAATTTGGTAAATTATTTTTTTGGATAATATTTTCTGAGTGGTCCTCAGTAATTATTATGCTAATTATCCACCATTAAGAGCATGTTATGCTAATTATCCACTAACTAATCTCAACAAAATCTTTGGCCAAGATTTTGATTACCATTTTTGTTTTTGTTTATTTTAGGAAATAATTGGTATTAATAGAAAAAATTGAAATAAAAAAGAATAAAAGAATGAGGTTTCAATGATATCAACTTGTTGTGAACATTTAGAGATGCCCCTGCTTTTGTCCACCAACCTTTGTATTTGCTGCATACCCACTTCTTGTTTCCTTCACCAGATAGACAGTCACTCTCCTTCCGAGTAACCGCTTATGGCCGTTTTTTTAAGGACCACTTTTGAGTTTGGGTTCCTCTTCAGTGCTGGAGGTCCAGATTTCGTGGTCCCGTATGATGTGGTAATAATTGTGTACCGGTGAAGTCACAAGAATGGTATTTTAACTAACGTTGTTTAGGCACTTTTTGATAGATTGTTCTTTTTCATTAATAAATCAACAGACTCAAGCCTACATGGTGTCATCTTTGTCTTATCCACTATTTACTGCCCCGGGCTTGACAGCTAGGTAGTTATAACTGGTGTTATATCCGCAGTCATGTTTCTTGAAATTATTTGCTTTTGTTCTAATAGACAGCCACATCCAGCAGGGATCAAACAACCGTTTCACATGCCGGGAATGATTGTCACCAACTTTGTGACATAAGGCATTTCTCTAAGAAGCATCTCTCTCTGTGAAAGTCAATTCCAGAGGAAGAACTGTTCTGATGTTGACGATTTCAATTGACAAGCCTGTGCTGTTGAGATTTCCCCATGTCAAATGCAGAAGTCATCAAAAGTTTCTCAGGATCAATGCCACTTGGTACGTGTGAGTTACAATTTATATTTCGATTGATATTGGGTTAGTTCATTTACTTTCTGTTGTAATTTGTATTCTTAAATTCTTACTGTACTGTATTCGTGATGGTTTTCTTTTTTTGTGTGCTAATGTCCTATATGGAAATTCTTTAGTTTTATTTGATCTAGCCAGTTAGTTTTGTTTCTTATGCAGTACTCTAATTCAAGTAAACCTCTCCTCATAAGTTATAGTTAGTTGAAATTTAGTATATTAGCAGCGGTACATATCTTTCATTATCTTATTTCATTACCAAATGAACAGGAAAAGGGATTCAAATTCCTCTCATCCAAGGAAGATGGAAGAACTTTCAGTAGAGCTTCCAACACAAACTAGTCCTCACTGTGAACCATCAAAGCATCCTGATCTGCAATTTGACCGGCTGCAGCCATCAGATGAAGATTTAGATCAAGAGCAAAAGTTTGAATTTGGACAATTTGTTGCACGAGAGGCCACACTGGATGAAGAATACTGGGTAAGTGATCACTCTCTAGATGATCACATCTTGGCCACGAAATTTCTAAGTGTAAGTTATTTGTGCCCACGAATAATATTTGGTTTTTTGGTGCTTTTGGGTTTGTGGCAGACAGCAGCATGGCTACGTGCAGAAAGTCACTGGGAGGAGCGAAAAAATGACCGGTGGGTACTGTTGTTCTTTATTACTTTCAGACTTCCCTCTGTCTGTCTGACTGTGTCTCCTTGCCTTTGGTCTTTGTTAATCAAACTACTCTAAATAAATGGGGAACATAAAGTTCCTATCATAGGTAGGCCGACTAAATGGTCTAGACCATCTGAAGTCATCATATAGAGCATACATGCAGAGGAATAGTCCTGCCCTTTTAACAAAAGCTGGCAATCAAGGTGATAGATAAAACAAGGGAATAAGGAAAGGTTCAGAACTTCTAGTTCTGAATCAATCAAGACTTCTAGAGAATTACCCCCATGGCTGGATCCTACCAGTGGTGGAATTCCCTCTGCATGTGCAGTCTTTCGTGGGCTTCAAGCGTCTGTTAAGTTGTTTTTTTTTTTTTAATCAATCAAATGGAGGGTTGGACACTGCTGATTCTAGCTACGCTTGATTGACACAGATTTGCTGAAAGTAACAAAAGGAAATTTGCAGACCGGGTAGGGAAGATTCATTTGCATTTCCATTCTGTGTAAATGGAATGTCTCAAATAAAATTCTGAATTATACTTTTTATCTTTTTAGGCATTCACTGCTATAAAAGGACGGGCAAAGGGGCAGAATGGGCAGATATGCACATGCATTGTTACGGTATGACATATTTGAATGAGCGTGTTTCTGGTTTGTTAGTTTGAACTCAGAAAACCCTTCTTTGCATTAGGGCATGTTATATTTAGCTAAAGTTCCCAGTCTATAAAAATATACCATTGATGGTGACTGTTTGCTTTCGAATTTGTCAGGTGAAGAAGGACACAAAGAATGTGAAACGCACTGTTGTGAAAAGTGTGGTTGGAACACTTGATTTGAGCATTCGGTACTTGTTGGATGGAGAGACCTTTCCAGGGGTACAAACATCTTGTTTAAAAACTAAAGACCCTACTGCATTTGTATCTACCGGTCTATCCAGTTATTGGCTTTGCCGAACTGACCATGAGATTAATCTCTGTTGCAGGAACGGGTAAAAGCTCCTCTCTTTTGCAGTACCAACAGGACACAATCAAGTAAATATGGTTATATTTCAAACTTATGTGTGGCCAAAGCAGCACGACGACAGGGTATTGCAAGCAATATGCTACAGTTTGCTATTAGATCCGCAATGTTAAATGGTAAGATGAAATACTGCATGAACTGTTCTCTGGGATTATAGAAATGTCTGACTATGGCGCACTTGAATTCCTCTTCTGAGTCTTCTCATTCCCTTTCTTTTTCTGTTTAAATGTAGCTAATGTGGAACAGATATATGTGCATGTGGATAGAAAGAACAAACCCGCCCAGGAACTGTACCGAAAGATGGGCTTTGAGGTATTATCTTGGTTGTGCATTTGTAGTTCGCAGTTATAGCATATGATCTCTAGTTTTTATATTTAGGACAAGGAGGAATGATGCAGATATTTGTTATTGTCAGATCATCGAAATGGCGAACTCTCAATTGTCAGAGGAGCAGACTTACTTGCTTTGTTTCAAGACCCGAAAGCCGATTCAACAGAAGTTCATGAATTGTATTTCATTCTTTAGGAGTTAAAAGAAAATTACAGTAGAAGAATACAAATGTGTGTACAGGTTACGTGAAGTTAGGTCAAAATCCGAAATTTCACTTCCCGCGCAAAGTCCTGGTGTCAAAAGGGACCCTGCAAGGTTCTTGGTATAGATTGTACTTCCTTGTTCAACAAATATTGTCAATGAAACACGATATTCACTCTCTCTCTCTCTCTCTCTCTCTCTCTCTCTCTCTCTCTCTCTCTCTAGTATCTGCTTTCAAGAAATTATTGTTGTTCTAGCTTCTCCGACAAATTTAATATTACATAGAAATTGTGAGAATTCACTGTTTGGGAATGCCATTGATTGTCTCCTTAATCTCCTCGAAGGTTTATCTGAACCAGTCTAAGTATTCGAGGAGATTACGAGTCTAAGTATTCGAGGAGATTACGAGGAGATTAAGGAGACATTAATCTATGGTTTTTGAAAGATACACGTACAACATAACTTGATACAATTATTTGCCAGATTTTCCAGACAAGCTAGGGTTTTAGGGGGGAAAAGATGCCGGATCCATAAGTTGATCGGATCATCTGGATAAACAATGGAAGCTGTAAGATCACGAACATAGCCACCGGAAAACAAGCCAGTAAAGTAATTGGAACATAAATCCAATCCAATCTCTGAGTGAGCACAATCGAAAGAGCTGTTCCGAACGCTACCATCATGGTGGCTAACGAAAAGAAGAGAGATCCGAGTCCCAAAATCAACCTCTTCGGCAAGGCCTCCAAGAAGTCTTTCTCAGCGTAGCGTGTTGTTAGCAGTGACAAGAATATCAGGACTGAAGTCAAAGACGAAAATAGAGACAGTGCGTCCGAAATAGCAAACACCTTGAACGTAGTTTTGGACAAAAATATTGGAGTTCCTTTGTCGGTATGGTTGCCTCCGGGCGCAGTAAAGGCGGCAGAAAATATCACTGAGGCAACTAGAATGGCCACCACCATGCAAGAGGTTGATGTATCATTCATCCATTTCTCTCCCTCTTAGGAAAACTAATGAAAATGACTTGAAAACTTTAAGTTTTAATGATAAGGACAAAATAAAAGGTAAAGTGAATAGTACCAGGATTGACTTTTTAGTATACAAATGTGGTTTTTCGTTAAAGTGAACAGTACTGTGGGCTTTTCGTTAAAACTCTCCTCCCTCTTCGCACAGCCCTTTGTGCTCCTCTACAAACACTTCAACGGCTGCTTTCCATTCCCTAAAGACCGGGCACATGAACTTCTCGACTGCCAACAGCGTATGTATATGGTATGCGTGAGTTTCAGTTATACAAAAAAATGTTCTCGTGTCAGACTGTCTGACTATATGTTGCAAAATTATGAATCCGCACCATATATTCATTTGACCTTTTTATTTTTCTTGTATGCCTAGTTTAGATTCAGTCTCTTACAAAGTAGAGTAAAATTCTTTATTTTCTTTCTTTATCTTTTGCCATATTCTTCGTTAGTTTGTGTTGGATTGGTGAAGGAATTGAATCAACAGGTAATGCAATTTTTCTTCGGTGCAGCTGGGCCTTCACATAGAATTTTTTGTGACCGCAGGATTCAATCGTGTGGTTGGGAAAGAATGACCAGATGACCTGCTAGGGAGTTTATATTCCAAACGAGGAATGCTAAGTTGATCAACGATTATTTTATTGACACCCCACAATCTTATAAATACACCACACACTTAAAATTATTCTTTTAAATTTCAATTTTAACCCTACTTCTACTGAAACCACCCCACCTGTTCAAAACAACAATAACATTTCACCTAATTGACATCTCGCTCACCCTCTGCCACTTCATCGATCCATGCTAAGCACTCCATTCCCTCACCTTCTCCTCCCCCTTCCCTCCTTGTTGCTCCGTGAGGCCTTTAGCAGTTCGTAGAAATTGAAATTTCAGATGCCATACTCAAGGATGTCTACTTGATGGCTATGGGCAGGAAAACATATGGAAAGTGCTTTTGTAATATAAAGTCGGCATATGTCTGGGTAAATAAAGTTATCAAGACCATCTTCTTGTAACAATTGAATATTTGAATTAGTGAGATCAATGAAATTGCATTAATGGTGGTGCATGTTGTTTGGCTGTTGCGGAGGGAATATGTGATGCATTTGTGGGTGCTAGGTTTGTTTATTTTTTTTTTCTTTTTCAGATTTAAATAAGGGTAAATGAGGTAGTTCAACAAGAATTCAAAAAAATGGGGTGTATTCGTAAGATTGTAGGATGTTAATAAAAAAACTCTAGATCAAATTTTGAAACAATATAATGTATTACCAATGGTAAATAATCATGATAATCAATATTTCAGTAATAATTCAATTATCAACAATTACATTAATCCGACAACTAAAATATTGCAGAACTTGATTAGTTACACAAGGAAGTCTTTGACAGAAGTAGATTATAGGTGCCTTCATTCTAACACATATGATGATCGCTCCCCAAAATATCAGCGGCTTCACTAAAATCGAAAGGAAGACCTGGTTGGGACTACCAAGGAAGGAAAGAGAGCGGGGAGATATTAGAACATTTCTAATGGTTCTTTAAAAATTGTCTCTGCCACTGTGTGTTTCTTAAACTTAAGGACTTGGTGGTTTCTAATGGGAAGGAACTCCAGCTCCTATGGTAAAGGGACTGCCGGAAGTTATATAAAAATCCTCACACACGTGAATGCACCATAAGGATCTTTTAATATTATAGCCTCTATATTTAAGGATTTTACTGTAAGGATCTTCGTTGAAGACAATATTCTTTTATGAAACCAAATATTCCCTTGAATCCCCTAAAAGAGTTCTAAAAATATTGGTGAAGACCTAAAATAAGGTCTGCGTGTTATTATTATTTTTTTTTGGGGGGGGTGACATTTGTCATTTCATCTAACTCTAGTTAACTTTCACATTAAATGTCACTTTTTCAATTAAAAAAAATAATCAAGATTAAGTAAAATGACACGTGACAGATAATTAAGTATATGATAAATATACACTAAAGTTTAGAATGATGAGCAAAAATATTACGGAATAAGGTAAGGTTAAAGAATAGAGGGAGCTAAAGTACTCACGTATGTTGCACGTGACTTTAACTTACCGACTTGTAAGTTGTAACTGGAAGTTGCCAATAATTTACCATATATATATATATATATATATATTTTTTTTTTTTTTTAAATTTGTACGAATGCCCCAGTTGCACCGAAGAAAAATTGCAGGTAATGGCCCGCAACACAAGTACAATGATCATGGAAAATGATTAGGATTTTATCCTCTCTTCTTTCTATTTATTTACATTTTCTCTCACATTTTTTATTTTACTTTTTTCTTTTTATAAAAAAAATTAATATAAGATATTAATGTGATTTAACTGTGATCGTTTAAATAGGAGGGAATGAAAAAGAAAAGAAAAAAAAGAAAAAAAAGAATCGTACTCCCATGGAAAAGAAACCAGGTTGTCTTTGCCTTTAACAATACAACTTTTTCTGAACCTAAACTGTCATCCATGAGAGTCAACTGGGTAAACTGCAACCCGTTTGTTAAACACTTGGAAGAATCCAGAGTCAAATGGAACCAGTCAGAATTTCAAAACGTAAATGGAACCGGTCATACATGATACAGGGGATACATGTTATGAGCTTCCAAGAGCATCTCCAATGCTAGTCTTCAAAACCGTTTTCACCATTATATAGACCTTATAAAGGGAGAATAAAGCTCTTTAATACACCGAAAATTTGAGTTTTTAAAAATATGAAGTTTTAACGAAAAGCTCATGTACTGTTTACTTTAACGAAAAACCACATTTTTACACTAAAAAGTCAATCCTAGTACTATTCACTTTACCCTTTTATTTTGTTATTATCATTAAAATTCAAAGTTTTCAAACATTTTTCATTAGTTTTCCTTTAAAAATATAATGACTCATTGGATACATGAGATAAGTCCCTACATATAAGTTGCGGAGCACGGTGAGCATTTTGAGTGGAAAACTTGGCCCATCCACATGCAGATTCCTTGCTGCTATCCAGCTGCATTGCATGCATGAGTCCCGCTGATTATTATTATTATTATTTTTTTTTTTTGTTGAAGGAAAATCAATGGCTGCAAAAATAACAATGTTTTTTTTTTAACTTTTTAGTCTCTAAATTGAAGGACTATACTATAAGGACACTCCCATTAAAACTAATATTTTTTTAGAACAAGTATATTTGTTTTGAGTCCCTAAATGGCGGTGATGGAAATTCCTAAATAGAGACTCGGAGATGCTCTAAGCTAAGTCAATCGTTTGAAACAATTTGAATCTCACTTGTGAGATGCACATTTGCATTTTTAACAGAGGACTAATGAAAATTTTGGTTTGGACTAAAATTGTTAACTGGTCTTACCTCAGATATTTAATTTGCAACTTTTTCACCAAAAATGTCACATTAAAATCATTGCCTCTGCATGGACCACAATTAAAATTAGCCTACAACGATTACTTGCCTATCCAGTCAAGGTGTAAACAAATGGACTCGGTAAGATAAGGAAATTGTTTGGAAAGTGCTTTCAAATACTGAAAGCGTTTTTAGATAAAGTAATTTTGAATTTCAAGAACACTGAAATGCTTCTTGCAAGAAGCACCTGCTTTTCCAAGTTTCATTTTTATTTTTACTAAAAATTGATTACAAATACATTTTTCACTAAAAATACTTTAAGCCCATTTAAAAGCGTTTTCGAGAAAAAACGAAGGTTTTCTTAGAACTACAGAGAATTCATAAATAATTGTAACTAATTTCTTGTCTAGCCAAACAATGACAATTAAATCACCAAAAATATGAGCCACACATACATAAGTTCTCTAGATTTTTGCGTAATTTGCCTTTCATCATTGATCAGTAATTCAGTATATAAAAACACAGCCAAAACACAAGTTCTAACATCTTTTCTTCCATCCGTCCTTCGAGTTACCGAAGTTTTTATGGGCGAAACATGCTCCGTCCAAATGTCGATCGGACCATTTGGATAAACAAGGGAAGCTGCTGCAAGGCAAAAAGAGTCACCGGAAAACTTGCCAGAAAAGTGATTGGGATGGAAACCCAATTGAATTTCTTGCCGAGCACAATCAAAAGGGTTGCACCGAAGGCTACCATAGTGGCGGCTATGGCAAAGAAGAGGGTGGCCAAACCGATTATCAACCGCTTTGGTAGTGACTCGAGGAAATCTTCTTCAGCATAACGTGCGGTTAGGATTGATAGAAACATCAAAAGGGAAGTTAAAGAAGAAAATAGAGCTATTGAATCCGAAACAACAAACACCAAGAATATGACTGACTTCTTCTCTAAGAAATTTGGAGCTCCTTCGTTGTCGTTACCTCCAGGTACTGTAAAAGCAGCAGCAAACACAACTGTGGCAATGAGAGTTGCTACGAGCATGCAAGAATTTGATGTATCCTTTAGCCATTTCTCTCCACTCTCAGCCAATGCTTTGTGCTCGTTGGTGAATAATTCCCTAGCAGTTTCTTCGTTTTTGTTCCGGCTCTCCTTATAATAAGGGTGAACTAGCTTCTCCACCATCTAAACATACAAAATAAAAGAATTGTTAAGAATGTCAAATATGTATAAATATTAACAATTGATAAATTTTCCGAGTAAACACCTTAAACCACTGCAACTCTATCTGCATTTGTAGAGCTGCACTGGAAATTGATGAGAGTTGGGGAAGAGGAGCCAACTTTGCTGCCAGATGCAAGATGGTACCCCCCGATTCAATTAGTGTAGTAGCCATTAATTTACTCCGTGCAATCTTATCATACACAGTACGAAAAAGATGTTCATGCCGAAGTTCAATAGCAGAAGGGAGTAACAAATATTGGTTGTTGCTGCGCTTGCAAACCCATATTAGATCAGGAAAAAATTCTAGGAGCGTTCTTATAATTTCAACTATTCCATTAACGGTGGCTACACACAGTATTTCTGAATTCAAAAGATATTTGAAACACCAAGAAGTATGCCTTTGTGAAAGTTGAAAGCAAATACGTTCTACTAGTTCAAATGCACAGTGATGACTAAGTTTTGCATCGTGGAGTCGCGTGAAATGATGTGGTGCTGCAAATTAAAAATGTGAAAGATGTGGGTGAAAGGCATCCAGCAGTGGTAAATATGGTAGGTAGGGTAAGGTTTCAAATCGCACCTATTCGTTTAATAGCTCCAAAAAAGTATTCTTCTTAACCCGTGAAGAAATGCAATGAAATCCAATTCTTTGAGGAGAGTGAGCGAAAAGCAAGCATGTCAATCACACATCCAATCACCTTCAGACGGTTGGAAGTACCTTAACTTAAAGCTAAGTTAACACAATGACACCGAGCATTTCTTCTGGTCCGTGCTACGGAATCAGCTGCTTTATATTTGTAAAGTTTTTTTTGAACTAATTTACATTTTTTTTTAATTAATTTTTTTTTATTATTGATTTCTTAATTTTTCAAAATCTGCAGTTATAATCATTTTCGTCAGAATTTTGTTAAAATAAATCATTTTGGAAGGATTACAACTACAATTAGACTAAAGTTGAAGGACTATTATTTCAATTGGATTAAAACTGTTATTACAATTTTCTCAAAAAAATAAAAAAAAATTGGAGACACGGAAGTTCGTATATATTGTTAGTCCTTTCACTTTTTTCTTTTTTTCTCTTTTTCTTATTGCTTCTTTTTTTTTCTAGACAACTATTGTTTTTTCTGCTTTTTCTTTCTCTTTTTCTACGTTCATTTCAACATTCCATCTCTTTACCTTTTCGTTGATGAAGAGGGTAAAAGGTGATAATTTACCTCTACCTCGTCTCTTGAAGTGGAAAAACTAATGACAATCTAACTAAAACAACTCTCATATTTGAATGAGAAAAGCATGAGAATCAAAATATGAAAAATCTAATACTTATAACCGTTACATAAGTTAAATTCACTTGAAGATGCTCTTACAATATTTATTATTTGTTTAAAGCAATCTTATAGAAAAGCAGTTCCCATGTTCTTTCCAAAAATAATTACAACCCTCCGAGAATCATTTTCAAATGAGCCCTTAACACGTCATTCCCATAACATCTTTTTTTCGGGTTGAATCCCATAGAACTAGTTCCTTGATTTCCAATTTCCTTTACTTGTCTAGCTGATACTCGGGTTGTCGAAAAATGAAAATACCAAAACATGAAACGACTTGATTACTATGAAACGACTACCAAAATACCCATCTTTCCACTGTTTGATTACAGATACAGGAAAACGCTGCATTTCCTTTACAAAAGTTTGATGGATTGGCTACAGAATGTTGCAACAATGACCTTAACAGGGGATTAATTCAACAGACTGAGGAATAACGCAATGCGCCTTCGTGAGGATTGGGCGCCTTGAGATGTTCTAGTATCGGAGAAAATTTCAAGCCAATAATTCTCACCTCTGGATTTGAGTGTCCATCCAGAAAAGTATCTGTGATCTGCAACAAGCACCATTCGACATGATTTATCATGCTACAGATTGTCAAGACACGATACAAAATTAGCACACTGATCACAGTTTCTACGTACCTGAGTGCATCCAAGAAGTTTTAGTATCCTCAGTGATAGGCAGCTGTCCACAATTAAACCGAGGGCCTCATCTGTCAAATTCCGGCACCATGATAGATCTAGAGTATGCAACATCCTTGAACGTTTGGCAAGTGATATGGCTGTGTTGTGGCCGACCTGAAAAGAACCCAACCGTATCCATAATGTAAGAACAACTAGTTATGGCTATGTGGACCAGGGTCTCAATCAACCTCAGGCCTACTGCTCAAGCAAGTGGCGAGCAGATTATCACAGCCAAACCCCAACTTTGGCTCGTGCAATTTAGCAGACATAAATTATCGACAGTGTGAGTGCGCGTGAGTTTGGGTGCGTGTCCACACACAAACTCACTGCGAATGTGTGTATTCTGGTTCTCATACAAGATGTGATTCTGTGTGTGTGTGTGTGTGTGAGAGAGAGAGAGGGAGAGAGAGAGAGAGAGAGAGAGAGCAAAGTTTTACCATCTCGATATGATTTAGTGAAAGTTCCTGTAAGCTTTCTCCAGAAGTTTCCAAAAATGCAGCAATGGCTTCATCACTGTCACACAGGGAATAGATTGTTCTGTAAGTTTATCACTCAGAGGAATGCCTATTGTGTGCATTGAGCACCAAAATGAAACTAAAATCACATCAGCATATAACAGTATAAATAATATCAGGTTCTATTAACGACTCAATGGGGGTCGACAATCCAACCCAGAAAATTTATCAAAGATCAGCGCAATTAAGAACTACTCCATTAAGTATCATACCAAATTAAATAGTCATGTGCACTCTGTCTAAACAGGACTGAGTACTAGCATTGCAATAATCTCTAGAAAAAACAAACTAAAATCATATCTACTTTGATGGAAAAAGAATAAACTAAACCTATTCATTAAGGAAAGCACCTGAATGGATTCCGTCGAAAATTTAACGTTTGAATTGCTCGGCAACCATTTGCAAGATATCCTAAAGTAGAATCAGTCAATTTGTTCAAGTTAGCAAGGTCAAGTGCACATAATCCCGAACAGCTTTCAGCTATCACTTTCACAGAAGAATCTGTTAATTTCCTGCATGAAATTAAAAGCAACCCTCATAAGTAGAAAACCAACACATAATTGGGGAACAAATGAGAGAATTTATTGCAAAAGTTGTGCACTGAGGTGTTAGAAAGACTTACACACAATCAGTCAGAACAAGCTCCTTCAAACTGTGACCACAAGCAGTGATAAATTCCCTAATAAAATTGTCGCAAACATTTTCGAAGCCTGCTAGCGAGAAAACCTCCAAACGCTCAAGCTTCTTCAGTTCTGGTAGCATAAGCATAGCATCAATGCCTTGGCAATCATTTAGATATAGTTCCTTCAGAACTGATCCCAATGAGTCAGCTAAAGTGCCAATACTCGAGTAAGTGAGAAGAGAGCACTGGCTGAGGTTTAGAGATCTTAGTGCAGGGGCAGAAGAAATAAGTTGACCAAGCCCAACATCTGAGAGACGGCATGCACCGCTTAGGGATAAAGTGACTAGGTTAGGCAAGCAATTTGATGACCGAGCTAAAGTAGAATGCAATATATAATCTGGCATACAGCGCCCACACTGATCAAGTTGTAGCACCTGATTTTCACCAGAGAGTAAAAAAGTTTCAGATCACAAGACAAGAAGCTGGAAGTCTACACTCAATAAACAACGAACTTCCATATTACTGATAAACAACAGAAATAGCTTTCAGTGAGTAATTAATCCTCTAATAAAACATTAATGCCGGTTGCTAAGCTACGTTTATCAGGATGTCACTGGAAACATGAGAAAATATGTTTGCTGTCCCTCTGCTCCCATTTAACAGAAGCACGAATACCATATGAAGTAGACTTTCAGCACCAATAATTTCCCGCATCCTTGTGGCAACAGAATTGGCACTGAAAACTCTAATGTAGGAACTATGGTCAGTTCAGCATTCTCTACATTCAGATGTGAATACATCTGAATGTGATCATAACAAATCAATTGCTCTCTCTCTCTCTCTCTCTCTCTCTCTCTCTCTCTCTCTCTCTCACCACTCCCAGTTAATAGGAGTGTCACCGTCGATACTATAAGAAGCAAGACTCTAATTATTCAGGATAAAAGCTCGGTTCAGTTAAATGAGCATCACAATACAATAAGAGCGGAGTATTCTCATCTTCTACCTATGAACCATAATTGCATTCATACATAGCAAGCTTATCTATTGACTCAGGCTAAGTATTTCAAATTCGCCTGATATATCACACACGCACCAGATATAAATGAATGTTATATATGCAAAACTGAAGCTCAACCAAAAATAAGAGAACGTACTGTTAAATTGACGGTGTCGCACTGCTGAAAAGATTTTGTAAACTGCTCCTCAGTCATCCATGAGCAATCCCGTAACCGAACCTCTGTTGGAGATCCCTGAACAAGAAGTTCGAATAGATGACTGTTCATTTTTCGAGAATCACAAAGTATCTGACTTAGCCGGTGCCTCAAAGCATCTGCCACATGGTCAAGTGAAACAATTGCATCAGCATTCTTAGCAAGAACCAACAAACATAGATCTTGCAGTGAGGGAACCGAAATTTTTGGGAGGGGACGGTCTGGAAACTTCTTAGGAACCCAATTCACTGATGGTGGCTTGGTCTTGTCTTTATAGGGCACTTGCACATCTTTTTCTGCTCGATCCTTAATAATTTTGATGGCCGTAGAGAAGGGACCAGGCCAATCTTCGATGTCCTGTGGCACTTCAGCATCAGGAGGCAAATGATTCACCTGTTCCTCTTCAGCAGAAAAATATGCAAATCGAGACGCATTTCGCCTAGCTATTTCTCGAAACCGCTCCATGTATACGTTTCCATCTGATACATTCTCTTTTGTATTACAGTTACCGTTATTTACCTGCCTCTGATCGTGCAATGCTACATTCTCTCCAATGTGAATAGGAGCAGAAAACACATTGTCCACGGCTACATTCTCTCCTCCATCGTTAGCATTCGATAAATCCGCTTCGCCAACCAATTTCCCCTTCCCTTTTTCTTTGCTGCTGTATCTCCTTCGGCCCTTTTCTATATCATTCTTGCTGGGAGTCACGTCATCTTCAAGATCTTCAATGGCTTCACTCAACTTCCTCTTCCCTTTAGGACTACTACTCTTCAAGACATTTTCACTTGCCCTCTCTGTGTCCGAATCCGAATCTGAAGCCATCTCTACCACATCGAAACCATTGACTGCAGAACCACTCTCCCCCAACTTTCTCTTCCTTCTCTCTCCTCTTCCAACTCCACCTTCCCTCGTCACGCTACCATTCTCATCAGCAACTAAATCAATCACCAAAGCTCCATTACTACTACCATCCACTCCTCGTTTCACCACTTTCTTCCCCGACCGCAAACTCAAAAACTGCTTACTCTCTCCATCTTCCCCTTCACATTCGGAAGCCGGCACATTAATATCGATCTCCAACTTCCTTTTCTTCTCCTCAGTCCCTTCCTCAACTCCTGCACCCGCAACCATAACCCTCTTCCCAAACAGAGCAAAACCCACCTCTCCACTCGAATCACGATCATCACCTTCTCCCCCACCACCCGCTCTCCCCACCGCTTCGGCAGAACCCGGAGACTTGGAAGCGAGACGCAGACTCCGTCGCCGCATCACTCCCGAGACAGGGGCCGACCCGACAGAGCCCTTTAGGGGATTCGGGGCAAAATTAGGGCTAGTGTTTTGGGGTTGGGAGGAGGAGGAAGTCGGAGCGGTGGGTGGAGGAGTGGGGGACTCATGGGTCTGGGCTGGCGTGGGGGGCTCTAATTTGAGCTGCGTCTTGGGCTTCCGAGGCGTCGTTTTGGGGGGAGCAATTTCGCCAGACCTAAGAACCGTCATTTGACCGGATTGATTGATGACGATAAATGGCGCGAAATGACGGAAGTGGAAAGCAGGGGGAGGCAATCGGAGAACTGGAAATGACGGGTCTACTTAATTAGGGTTTTTGTAAGAGAGAAGCTTTCACCGTACGCTTAATTTGGGGCCGGTTCGATTTTCCCGCCAAATTATATTTAGCGTGTGGAAGCGCAAGCGTGCAAGTCTTTTCGCACCTTTTCATTACTACTACTATTTGAAATCTATTTGCCCCCTACAAATCAACCAAAATCTCACAAACAAATCCCTCGATTTTACGGACTTGATTATAATATTTACATGTATTTAATACCACAACTATCTCATAGATCAAATTCGGTCTAACCAAAATTTTAATTTCATTAACTTGTCTTTGCTTGATGCATATATTCATTCGACTTGCTTGGACATGAGCTTAGAACCTTATTGTAATTAACTCGTATATTTTGACTAGGCTTTATTGTTACAACGAGTTATCTTGTTATAAGTATTCTATTTTTTTTATCAAACAAAAGAAAATTTAGTAGATTTCCATAATTATTGTTTTACATTTATTGAATGGCGAAATGTACCATTCTTCCGTGAAAAATATATTAAAGAGTTTTGGTAAGAAAACAATATATTGCTAAATTATCAAAAAGTTGAATGCCACAATATCAAATCACTATAAAAATAAAAATATCAGCAATATTTCGTTAATAATTTTGAACGCACACCGACCCTCACCTGACCACTTCAAATTTTCAACACGACACCTCACACTTTTCGAAGGAAATATAATGTGTACACTTAACACCATTCAACTAATATTATAATAAAATGATAAACTTTCTCCCAAGTCATGTTATATCCTTTTGCATGGTGATCACTTTGTAATTTAACACAAACATAGTTACATAACAACAATATAAGGTCATTTTCAGCCAATGACTAATATGCTATTTTTAGCCCGAAACCATCTCTAGGGTTTCGCAAACAACAAACCGCTGTTTCTTCGACGCGTAGAAACTTGTTAAATGGAAATTTCCCTTGTACGCTTTCTTTTTATCAATGTGTGGGATTTCGTTCTATAGACCAATGAGAAATGGCCCAAAGGGAAATGACTCAGAAACTCCTCGTTTAATCGTTTAGGAAGAAACATTGTTGCCATGTAAAAGTCAGTATTGGAAGGCTTCAAGAGTTTGTGGGATGCCCGGAGGCCCACACAGCTCCAATTCCATTACATTCCAACCTGGCAGCTTGAATTCATCCCGATCGTGAGTTATGAAAAACATTAATTTATTCATACACACACATATTTTTTTTAACTGTCGGATCAAATGAATTTAAAATGATTAAAAGACAGAAATTAACAGAGGGTGTATGGAAAGTAGAAAATAGTGAATGTATAGCACCACCCATAAAAAATATTTTCAATAGATGGAGGCCGAGAAATTTGAACTTAAGAATTTTGAGTCAACGATAACACGTTTAACACAATAGGTTAAAGTGTTTCGCAATTATAAAAGCACTTAGATTAAAATTCTTAGGGCTCGTTTGGAAGCTCTTTCAAAATAATTGAAAGAGTTTTTAGTGAGAATATTATGGGTTCTAAAAGCACTTGAAGTGTTTCATGCAATAACTATTTCAAGTGTTTTTTTAAGGATTTACTCGCATTTTTATTAAGAATTGGTTTCAAAACCATTTCACCAGAAACACTTCCAATAAAAACGCTCAAAGAAGCGGATACTAGAGTTTGTGTGATTATAAAACAATGGTAAAGTGTAAGATCCTCTCCAGATCTCTTCCACTAAGAGCACCAGATCAAGTGATTCGGGCCTTTAAAATTTCATCGAACAACAAAAAATTATTATAGTTTTTAAAGGATCAAAACATGTGGGATGTTTGATGAAATTTTAAAAGGCCAAACTACTTGATTCGATAATCTTGGTGGAAGCGATCCAGTGAGAATGCCTTTCCTAGGAAAATGGCAACACTTTCTTAGGATCATTGGTTAAGATATTGAATTATCTTTCCGTACGTATAACATAAGAGTAATGTCCCTTTCAATTCTCTATATAGTTTACAATTGGGCACGTATTCACACTAGCAAACATAAGTGAACAAACAAAGTATGTTCAAAATTAAAACACTAAAATACAAATCAGAGAAGACGCGTCGTATTAAAAGGTATAGACTCTTCCTGTCATCCCATTTGGACCCATTGTGATTATTGACTTGCATATATACATACATTATATATCTACATGTGTGTGTGTACACACACTAGTGCATTTTATATACATGCATATCAATAATTATTAAATTATGCACATATATACATATCAATGATTATTTAGTTTACCTAGTATTACCCTATCAATAATATTACACAATTCAAAATTTGACTACAATACTTATTCAATACAACAGTTTTGCTCTCCAAAGGTTCTTATTTCGAGGAGCTATGAGAACTAAGTGCATATTAACCAGCATGTGTGGTCCAATATGCTAGTTTAGGGTATTGAGTTTTCACTCATGTGTTCCAGATTCGAAACTCTTTCTTCGCTTAAATTATTGTAATAGTTTTAAATCATCTGTCTCTCTTTAATAATAATAATAATTATAAAGTACATATTAACCACAATATTATAGTATAGATCCAAAATTTAAATTATTTGACAATTTAATAAAATAAACCATTAAAAAACGAATATTTAAAGCTTTTTAATCTAAATTAATATAATCTTAATGTTAATGTGCATTTGTCCCTCGTAAGTTCTCAAAACGAAGACCTCAAAACTCATCAAAACAATCATAAATCATCATCTAACTGTCAAATATAATTTACATGAATATATAAATTAGAAGAAATCTAATCGCCGAGATAGTGATTAAGTATTGAAGATGATTAGTATTAGTCAAAGTTATTCATAAAGAATAAAAAAAGTAATCTCCCAATAAAGGTTGCAATCATGCAAGATTATCAACTCTGCAACCTCAAGTCAAACTTACATTACAAGTAAAGTCAACATACAAATAAATTACATATATTTATTTCGAATAAAAATAAATTTGTAAATAAAATTATCAAATTAAACGATGTGTTGATTATAATGTTAAACGATAGGTTGTAAAACTTCTTTTAAACTAAAAACTGAAAGTCTCAATTCGAAATCCGCTAGAAAATGGAATCGTGGTGAATATTGGATCCAAATGGTATAATCCGAATTAGTATCACCATCGTCATTGGCTGGCCACTGCCTTTAAACAAATCCAAATTCCGCCCCAACATATTTTCGGATTTCAGGACTTTCTGACGCATCACAATTCTAGAGAGAGAAAGATAAGAGAAGAGAAGAGAAAGCCTGGCCGCTGCTGCTGCTGCTGCTTTGTGGACAGCTTTAATGGCGATCGCAACGCAATCCAATCACCAACGATAACCAGTAAATACCACTCTGATCGCTTGCGTTTTACAGTGCTACAGAGTTTCAGGACATGGGTCACCACCACCACCTTCACAACGCCAGCGATGGCGTCTCGCAGCGAGTCAACAGCCCGAGATTCTCGGGTGCAATGACTCGCCGAGCTCACTCGTTCAAGCGCAACCCCAACGCCAGCGCTGCTGCCGCCAACAATGGAAGTTCTCACAGCAGCAACATCGGAAGCAGCAGTAACACCAACGGCGGCAATGTCGGGTTCGTCGGCGAGTACGAGATTGATCTGCAGCTGAACTCGCCCAGATCTGAAATCGGTGGGAACCCGGTTCCGGCTGATGGGTTTGACTCGTTTTTGGAAAGGAAGCAGACCCACAACCATGTGAGCCAGAGAGTTACGGTGAGGGGGTTCCTGAGGAGGCCAATTGGATCTGTGGTGGTGGACTTGGGGTTGAGGGAGAAGAGGAAGCTTGGCCATTGGATGTTCTTTGCCTTTTGTGGGGTTTGTTTGTTTCTCGGGATTCTGAAGATTTGTGCTACTGGTTGGTTTGGATCTGCTATTGAAACTGCTAGGTCCAACCAGGTTGGCAAATTATTATGTTTCTGTAACATATGCTTGTATGTCGCAGCTAAGTTAGCTATAGCAGTTCGAATCCCCTTCCCTTAGCTCTGATTAGTTAGAATATCGTTCGAATAAAAAATATATATATATATACATGGTCGTATTGTTTATATGTATGTTTTCATATGTGTGTGCGCGTGCTTGAGTGAGTGAGTGCTTTCGATATTGTATGTGTTATGCGCGATGAGATTGTTTTAGGATGGATTGCATTTGTTCTATGTTAGATTTTTCGTGTATTTGTTCAAATTTTCCTAAGATGGTTTCTTCTAAATCTAGGATGGTTCCGACTCCATGAATCTTTTAAAACGGATGGATCAAAGCTCTCATGAATATGGATATAGGGATGGAGGAGGTCATGTTGAACAAACAATAATGATGGCGTCTCGTGTGAACCGTGTGGTTGTTGAAGAGAAAAGCGCTGAAGTAAGTCTTGAATCTTAAGTCTTGATCACATTCTTTTCGCTTTTTGCTCTCTTGTTTCCTGAAAGTAATTGAGGGTATGGAAATTGATTTCTGGTTCAGTACACAGGTATCTGGTCCCGACCAAACAGTGAGAATTTCAGTCAGTGCATTGAGTTGCCAAAAACTCATAAACGTATGTAACACATGCAACTAAATGACTTTACTCTTCTCTTCCTCTGTCTTTGTGCCTCTGTGTGTTTAGATTTGTGAGCTTTAGGTTTTCATTATCTTATGTCCTACTTGCATCTTTTGGCAGAGCTGGACGCAAAGACCAACGGTTACATTCTTATAAATGCTAATGGCGGCTTGAATCAGATGAGATTTGGGGTCTGGCTATTGTGCATTTTGATTATTCTACCGTTTTAAGATTTCATTGGTGTTAACTATAGTCTGATGCATTATATTTTAGAGTGCAGATCTGTGATATGGTTGCTGTTGCTAAGATTATGAAGGCAACGCTTGTCCTACCTTCACTTGATCACACTAACTACTGGGCTGATGAGAGGTTTGTTTATTTCCGTAGTTCTGAGTATATCATATAGTTGTTCAAGTTTCTTTATGCTCCAAATGATATGATTGCGTTCAAGTTTTCCTGGTGATATAATCTGAACCAATTACTTCATGTCTACTCACAGTGGTTTTAAAGATCTGTTCAATTGGCAACACTTCATTGAGACTCTAAAGGATGATATCCACATAGTAGAGACATTACCCCCTGCCTATGCTGGAATCGAGCCTTTCAACAAAACACTGATATCTTGGTCTAAGGTCAGAGTCCGTGCAAACTTATCTATCATACAGTAATGTTTATTACCTTAATATTGGCAGAGGAACATAGGTTGAGCATTCATTAGGGATGCTGTGCTATGTTCTAAAACCGATCCTGATTTTTGTTCAATGCACACGAATGGCTATACTTCACTGTAATTCCCAACGTATCTCATATCATTTATTACCATTTCTTAGATTAATTATTGCCAGCTGATTAGCTTGTGTTGCATTCATTTGTCCAGGCTAGTTATTATAAGTCAGAGGTTCTCCCACTGTTGAAGCAGCACAAAGTAATCTATTTCACTCATACGGATTCTCGAATTGCCAACAATGACCTCTCAATTTCCATTCAAAGGCTGAGGTGCCGTGTGAATTACAGGGCATTGAAGTATTCAGCTCCAATAGAAGAACTTGGAAGAACCTTGATTTCTAGAATGCGGAAAAATGGAGGCCCTTATCTTGCTCTTCATTTGAGGCAAGTGGTGTATAAGTTTTAACTTTAGTATCCGATGGACCATTTCACTCTTTTGGTGTGCATAAAGTTAGTGATCTTTCAGAGATGAAATGGTGATTCACGTTAAATATTTGTATTGATATATATAATGAATTTGCATTAGTAAAAGTAGGTTTTCGTTTGCTTTCTTTGATATGTAGGGTGATTGCAGCAACTTATTGTAAACTTATCTCCCGCTTATGTAAATTGTAATTTCTTCATCAGGTATGAGAAGGATATGCTTGCATTTACGGGCTGCAGTCATAGTTTGACAGCAGAGGAGGATGAAGAACTACGTAGAATGCGATACGAAGTCAACCACTGGAAGGAGAAAGAAATTAATGGGACAGAGAGAAGGTTGCTTGGGGGCTGCCCATTGACCCCAAGGGAGACTTCGCTTTTGCTCAGAGGGCTCGGATTTCCATCCAGTACCAGGATTTACTTGGTAGCTGGTGAAGCTTATGGGAATGGAAGTATGCAACATCTTGAGGATGAATTCCCGAACATATTTTCCCATTCCAATCTTGCTAAAGAGGAAGAGCTGAATCCATTCAGGAATCATCAGAACATGTTGGCTGGTATAGACTATGTTGTTGCCTTACAGAGTGATGTTTTTCTTTATACATATGACGGAAACATGGCAAAAGCAGTGCAAGGTCATAGGCGCTTTGAGAACTTTAAGAAGACCATTAATCCAGACAGGTAATTACATAACCTATTTTCTTACAACCCCTTTTAGCATGATTATTTTTCTTTTTCATTCATTACATTTTCGGCGTACATTAAGTTCCATTCCATTGGGGATGCAGGATGAATTTTGTAAAACTTGTCGATGACTTTGACGAAGGAAAAATCTCTTGGAACAAATTCAGTTCCAAGGTGAAAAAGCTTCACATCGACAGAGTTGGAGCTCCATATCCGAGAGAGGCTGGCGAGTTTCCAAAACTGGAGGAAAGCTTTTACGCAAATCCATATCCAGGCTGTATATGTGAAGCAAGAAGGAAAAAGTAGAGTGCGGTAACAGGTTTTGCATTAAATCACGGTATGAGATCAGCAGCGTGCAAGACATCAAGGCCTGTGCTGCCATTATTTCACGAATCAGCAAGGGAGTGGCAACCTTAAATTTCCAATTGCAAAGAGGAATCAGTAGGTTGGTTTGCAGCCTAATTTGGGGTTCAACACAGAAGTCATGTGTGTGTTCTCCCGAGCGACCACTGGAAAGTAAAGATTGATACGATGAACAGAAGACCTTGCCAGTGTACCACAGCAGTTAAGTTTACACTGTTGTTTTATTTTGCACTTAATTTTTCGTGCTTTTTCGTCCATAACATAGGGGGTTTCAAAAATTGATTGGGATACAAAGGGTTGATACTGAATTGAATGTATTACTTCAAGATTACAAAAATGTAATTCAAAGAATATCAATTTATAACAAGCTGCTTTTCCCTATCAAATTACTCATTCACTCGTCATGGATCGTTTTTCCAGCTGCAACTTGTGGAATTATCTTTTTTTGTCAGGGCTGGTCCAGAGATTTCGGGCACCAAGGTGGTCGGCTTGTAGGGCTTCTCTCAGGGCCGGGTTATGTCAAGTGGTTCACATTTTTTGGTCAATCCGAGTGTAACAATGTTTGATATACATTGCTAACTTTAACGATTGAATGTGCGTTGAAGAATTCCAAGAAATTAAACGGTGAATCTGAGTCGTTTACAAGTAACCTGAATGAAATTACCAATCCAATCATCCAAATTGATGCACGACTAGCAATTTTGATCAAACAGGTTTTCCAGTTGTAATTTGACATGAGATAATTGCTTGGAACATAAAATTACAAGCAGAAACAGCTTTCTTAAAATCCCCAAAATCTAAGAAAATGGTCCATAACAAGGACAGGAGAGGGATATAGAAACAGAAGCTGTCAAAAATGTGTGCTCCAAAACCGAACCAAAGTCCAAAAACATCAGACCAAAATTCCAGTGATCACTTAGGCTGTAAAATGGACTCAACCAGGTCCTGAAGAGGCGCAAGCTCCCCTTTGTCTATCAAGCGGAATTCCTGCATCACAACATGAAGAATGAACATCAAACAAATAGAATCGAAGCGAAGAACTTAAACTTACGAAAGAAAGGAGGTGGGGCAAAAGCTTACGCATGTGAAGAGAACGAAGTGCTTGAAGCAAGTGTTGAGATGAGCTTCTTCCTTCAAGCTCACAATTTTCTGGAAATGAGAATGGTAGATATGAGCGTAGACGCGAAACAGCCGCTTAAAAATGGTCTTGACGACATCTTGGAAATTGGACGGAAACGGTACTCCTGTAACACATTACAGCAGATAAGTTGATGAAGGGAGCTTCGTCAAAATTCAGGTCTAATTAACTTCAGAAAAGTTTTCCGCTTACCCAATCTTTGAGGAAAGATGGATTCCTCATCGAGCTGAACTTCGATCCAGTCCATTAGATACTCGACATATTTTGGAGCAGAGACCTCAATCGGTTTCTTGATGTTAACTCCATCAGCCCATCTGTACTCATACCTGTGAGAGTTTAACCAAACTTAGCATCAGGAAATATGTTCCCAAAAAATGCTTATCGAAGGAACTGATGTCGAATGGGGAGGATTGATCTGAGTTAACAAAATTATAAAAAGAATTTACTGGACGATCAAGAACTATACTTTGGCCCTGCAGACATAGTCGGACAACTGACCGGCGTGCAGAACTCCGTGAGAGTTCCATATAGAATGTTCACTTGGTTGAAAAAATCGACAGCTGCGGAAAAAGTTCAAGATTGAAAGAAGTTAAAATATAGTGCAATAACAATTTTCCCAGTGAATTTTGTATCGATACATAAACATGCACACATTAACAACATAAGAATTATGATGATCATATTGAAGAGTTCTTACTGTTTACTGCCAGCCATTCGTTTATATCTTCGCCGGGAGGCAGACGAACCGCCTCCCTCAGGTTGCCACTGCCTAAAGTAGCATCAATGTGTTTCTGAAGCTGGGCACCCTGCATTTATCAACGTATATATAAACATATTGCTTCCATCAGGAAAAAAAAAAAATCATGAAAAACCTTTGAGAAATAAAAAATTGAAAACTAGATTTTAATTTAAGATGAAGTTTAGAAAAATGTCTTATACAACATTAAAAATTGATTTTAGTCCCTACACTTTATTTAATGCCAGCATATGTGTTCAATGTCTCTTTATTTATGCCAGAATATGTATTCAATGTCTCTTTATTTATTTATAATTTTATGGTGTTCAAATTATAAATTTTAATTCTCATTATGGTAAGTAAATTATATAAGAAAATATTTTTGTAGAGATTTTTCGTTACACTTATGTTTTTGCATATTTTCTTATGTGTCACTAATTCATTACAATATATTTATGTACGAACATTTTGGCACACTAGGTTAGTATAATATGTTTAGGTACAGACATTTCGGTACACTAATTTAGTATAATATATTTAGGTATCGACATTTTGGTACACTAGTTTAGTATCATATATTTAGGTACGAAATTTTTCGGTACACTTATGTTTTTGCATATTTTCTCATGTGCCACTAATTCACTATAATATATTTAGGTATAGACATTTTGGTACACTAATTTAGTAAAATATATTATGATACAAAAGTTTAGCTACACTAATTAAAGGAAGTAAAATAAAGTTAATGAATTAAATGCATATAATAATTATAAAATTTTAATGTAATGATAATAAATAAGATTTTTATTAAATATTAAAACAAAAATATAATATAATGAATTTAAATTAAATACACATTAAAGGACTAAAACAATATCCAATATAACACCAGATTTTTATTGAACTTTAATCTAGAAGTAAGGAAACATGATTAGGGTTGGCTGAGGAATGTATGTACGTAATAAACCAACCTTACTGCCGGACGGAGCGCTCTTTTTCGGCCGGAATGTTTTCTGGTTTCTGCAGAATTATCAAAGATGTGATTCAGGGGAGGGACGAAAACAGAAAACACCAAATTCTAACAAACAAATTTTTATTGGTTTTTTTGTTTTTCTGATCCAAATTTCAGTGAGTAAACAGATAAAATTTTAAATTTTGATTGATCCCCATTTAGCAAAATCCTCTAGCAAAACAAAATATGACAAGAGTTATGGTGCAAAAGCATGCATCAAACATGACAGATATATCAAAATCGTCACAAAAACCCAAGAAAAAAGCCTGAGAAAAAAAAAAAATAGGGTTCTAGAGTTCATGATCCTGAATCCAATATAGTTTTGGATTTAAAAATTTGGGATCATTAGGTACAAACCTGCTTCCTAGGCCAAAGAGACTCATCTCGTCCCTTTCTAGATCTCTAGCTCTGCAGAACCCAAGGCGATAATTGAGGGACAATTCTAGGACAAAGAAGGAATATACACATAGAGACACACTATATATGAACGACATATTTATCTGTCTATATATATATATATATTCTCTCTCTGCTTGACCTTGCTAATGCCAGTCTGTCATTTATATCTCGTACGTAGAGAGAGAAAGGGTTTGTCTTCCTTTCTTTTCCATTTGGTTATCACCCTGCTAACCTGGCTCATTCTCCTTATTTCTTTCTATGTTATATAACACGGGAAATAATTTCCGTACATCTCTCTTTTCTTCTTCTGCAAATTATGCTTATTTTTTTGTCTTTAAAAAATAAATAAATAAAATAGTTAAAGAAAAATTAAAGAGACATAATAAACATGAGCATACGGAAATAGAAAAGAAGGGTCAGAAAATCATTTTCATGTTTAATGTAACACTAACTAAAAAGAATAATCTTTCTACTGCCCGAAAGAGGAAAGACAAATAAGATAATGACTGCTGAGGTGGCAATTTGATAATTAAAGAAAGATGTGTGAAGAGTTATGTGTAAGCATGTTAATGCACGATTTTGTCAATCGTTGATACAAGATAATTGTAGAAGAGTCTTCACATGCATCAAAACTCGAGGGAATTTTTTTTCGAACCCATATAATCTTTTTCTATACACACCATAAACTTAAAATGTGAATTGACCTTTTTACTCTGTTGTATTATTATGATTATGAGATGAAGTGAACAATAAAACTAAAATTTATTAATAAATTCATACCCAATAATCAAACCCTTTCCATCGCGCAATCTTTCTCCTATGTTCTATTCTAGTTGAAATCCAGCTATCTCATAGAGAAAAATAAGCTCTTTTTTACGCATATATGTTGATTTTGAAATTTTGGATCCTCCTATTAAAGTATGAAGCGATTTATGCAAATTTTTTTTTGTTTTTTGAATTATTTGTTTAGGGTTTATGAGTGTATTGCCTGCAAAAATAGAAAAAACTTTGTTAGCCCAATTCCGTGTGCAAAACAAAAGAAAAAATCGATCCATCCACAAGCTTTTGCCTTGACAAAGAGGGGGTTTATGTTGAAATTAAGGTTCTAGCCCAGCGATGGGACCCCAAGAGGAGAGGACGGCTTGCTTAACATGGCCATGCAAGACAACCTGAGATTTATTGAGAGCAACACTGTAGAGAGTGATGGAGACTCCATCAAAAGCAAGTGTCTGGTGTTGGTAATGTCCTTTCTGTCATCTTCCTGTAAACTTAAAGGATGAATTAATTAATTCTCACAAATTCTAATTAATTTCTATTTCTATTAATCATGAAGAATTGAAAAGAAAGTCAATGAACCTGTTGGAAGGAGGAACATGTTCTTTGACTTTGGGTTTTTATCTTTTAAATGGGTCTAGAGAAAATTTACATATTAAATTGGATTTGTAAGGAGAATTTAGGTAGTTAAATTGAGTTTAAGAAGATGTTAATAGTTTAATTAAAATAATATAGCACAGAGAGTGAGTTGGGCGTAGAATAAGGTTATTGATTCAAATAAAATTTCTCAAAATTAATTAAAAAGAACTTAAGTAGACGATAGAATCATGTTTATATCTTAATCATAGGGACTTTGATTTCAATGATTGGGAATTTAGCATAATTAAAGAGGATCATCCTCGGTGATTAGTGTTAGATATGATTCATTAGAAAGTGAAACAAATAGAGGGAAAGATAACGGACCGTATTCAGCATTAGGATCTGTGCTAGTGATTAGGTTTGTGACAAAACTTTTCTTTTTGAAGGACGGGGATTTGAATTTGTGTGTAGCAAGAC